TGCACACACACGTGTGTGTGTGTGCGTATACACAACACAGGAAGCAGCTACAGTGTACTGTAAATCTCAAATGTGAACAACAGAGCAGTAAGTTTTAATTGATCTTTTTAAAATGTTCTTTCGCTGCAGCAACAGCAAGAAGAGTGACAACAGCCGGTAACATTGTTTGCTTTGTATCAACTCACCTATAGGGAGAGATTAATGCTAAATAGAAGCACAGGCAGCATAGTATTAAAAGACTCTTGTAATGATATCTTGTTCTTTTTGTAATTTGTATTCCTCAGTCATGGGTGAGGATGTAGCTTTTTTCTCAGACCTTTGCTATTTTTTTGTATTTTTTTCTTTTATGAAATGTCTTTTGCCTGTTTTTCACTTGGGATGCCTTTTATGACTGATTTATAGGCATTCATTTATGTATTCTAGATGTTAATTTGCAGTCCCTTAGGACTGTTTCAAGTGAATTGTGGCTTGTCTTTTGTTATCTTTTGATTAGTAAGAGTTCTTAATTTTAAGGTAGTAAAATTTGTTAGTTTTCTCTTTTTATAGTTAGTGATTTAAGAAAAATATTCTCAGCTCCAAGGCCTTTACTACTGCATTTAAAATTTTCCTCTGCAGATTTTAAAGTTGGAAACTTAAAATCCTTAGTTTACTGAATTAATTTATTTAGAGTAATGTTTTTATTTAAAGGGAACAACTGTCACAACAGTACTTTTTGAAAATTCATCCTTTCCCCAATAGTTTATAATATTTGCAATATATTTCCATGTGTGTACGGGAGTGTTAACTGTGTTATTTTCTCCCATTTTTGTATTTGTTTTTAAGTAGATATCTTTTACTAATTTTCCTTTTTACTTACTTAGTTGGGCAAAAGCAGTTACTTCTATCTATGATAATTAATTTTTATTAGTTTTTCTTTTACTGTATGATCTTTAGTTTCCTAAACTAATTCTAGCTAGGGCATAAGAAATAGTTCTTGCATGTTGATTTATACCAGCAACCTTACCAGTCTCCAATTAATTTTAATTGAATGTTCTTTGGTGGTTATTTTTTGTTTGGACAATGTGTTCCTTTTCAGTTGTAATATTTTTATTTCTTTTTATTTCCCTAATGTGCACGTATATTACTTTTCTCTGGTTGCTAAGACAAAATACCTAATATCCCAAATTGAAGGAGAAAAAGTTTGTTTGGCTTACAGTTCATAAAGGTTTCAGTCCATAATTGACTGGCTCCAAGGCAGGTTGGCAGAGTGGCAACAGTTCATGGCAGACAGAAGGTAGGAAAGCAACTAGAGGAGTTAATAGCTCTTTCTGCCCCTTTTATTTTAATCAGACTAAGCACAAGGACAGTTAGCACTCACGCCCTTAATCCCAGTGCCTTGGGGCCAAGCCCCCCCTTAATCAATCACACTCTAGATTCAGCCACCTCTGAAAAAGCTGGAGGCTTTGGGGAGACATCTAAACAAAAGCCATAACTGCAAGCTAGGAGATGTAGTAAAAATTGACTAGTTCTTCATTTGAAAAGGAATGTTTAAAATTTTGTACCATTAAGTATATTTGCTTTTTTTTTTTGTAATGTCTTAATGCTTCTAGAAAAATTTGTTCTTTGTTGGATGTTGAATGTTATTGATTGCTCATTCACATTTCTTAATGATCATACAGATTTTTACTTTTATGAATTACATTATAAGTGTAATGATCATCTAGACTTGTGTTCTTAGGGTAACCTCTCTTTGATCCCATTGTTTTACCTTTTTTTATGTAGTTGGTGTGATTTGGTAATTTTTTTGTCTATCTTTCTAGCATTGGAATCTGGTTTTAGGATCAGAGATTCCTCATAAAATGAATTGATTCCAGGTTCTCTCTTAGGGGTTTTTCAAGTACTTGTGTAAGGCTTGAAATACTTGTTGTTTGAATGTTCTGTGAAACTCAAATTAATTCTCTACAACTTGCATTGAGGCTTGGTGTAGCAGCTCATGCCTGTAATCCTAGTACTTGGGAGGCTGAGGCAGGAGGATCACCATGAGTTCAAGGCCAGCCTGAACTACGAAATGAGACCCAATCTGCAAATTTAAAAAAAAACAAAAAAACTTAAACTTCCCTAGAATGCACAGAATTGCTCAGAGCTCTTTGTCAGGTTTCTGTACCATTAGACCTTGACTTTGTTCATCAGTTTATTTCCTGTAGTTTGTTCATACAACCCCTTTTCAGGTAAATGAATGTACCTGTTAATCTAGAAATAATTGCTCTATATACCCATTTCTAGTTTGCCTGTCCTACCATAGGTTATTCTGTACTATCCCGTATTGATTTCAGCACTGTCAGAAACCTTTCTTTACTTCACTAGTTTGAAGTGATACTCTGCTGGATGCATCAATTTAATTTGCATTACTTATTTATAGTGTCTGGCAAATAGCTATATTTAGATAAATATGAAACACAGTTATATTTCTTGAAGTTGAGTGAGGTGGTTTATGCCTGTAGTCCTGTCCTACTGAGAGGTTGAAGCAGGAGAATCATGACTTCATGACTTTGAGGTTAGCCTGTACAGTGTGACTCCATATAAAAACAAGGGGGAGGTTACATTTTGCCAGTAATGGTTGAACTCTAATGTATATAGCCAGCATACTCTTATTTTTATTCTATTATCTCTTATCTGAGGAGCGTATGTACAGGTCAAATCTGTCATGAATATTTGTGGTTTAAATTTTTGAAAGAACACAGTACCTGTATTTTTATTTTTCAGAATATCTTAGCTGAACCAACAAAGTCTAATGGAAATATGGTTCGTCGTTCTTCATCTCCGTATGTATTATATCCACCTGATAAACCTTTCCTTAATAGTGAACTACGACGCTCCCCAAATAAGCCTACACTTGCCTACCCAGAAAGCAATAGCAGAGGTAAATAGACCCTAATGAAATAGATGTGATTTTTGTTTACTTGTTGCTTTAAAAGTTTAAATTTTATTCTCTATAGTTTTGAAATTAGAATAGGTATTTCCCCTTTTATTCCTGTTTCTAACTTCAAAATATAATGTTTTTATTGCGTTCCTTACATTGATTGTGTAACATTAACACCCACTAAATCGCTGAAGGTAAACTTTCTTGAGTCATCGTGAATCACCTATGCCAGGTGTGTCGTGTCTAACATCAGTCAGCCAATACTGCTTTTACTTCTATAATATTTCAAAAGGGAATTGTTTTCCTTTTTGTTGTTGTTGTTCTGGGTTCTCATCATCTGTTATTTATATGTCATAATGTATTCCTAAGTAATAATCCTTGTCCCCAATGTCTTAGCCATTTCCTTGTTGCTGGGACAAAATACCTGACAACCACAAGGTAAAGGAGAAAAGATTTATTTTAGCTCACAGTTTGAGGAGGTTTCAGTCCATAGTTGACTAGATCCAGGGCAGGGTGGCATTGCAGAGGAAAAACAATCTGTGGCACAAGATAAGCATTCCCATTCCAAATAGGGGGATAGAAAGGAATTGGTCCAAACAAGACCAAAATCAGGCAGGGCAAACATTAAGTCCTACTGTTCCTTGTCTAGTATCCAGGATAATCTGTAATAAGATGTGAACTCCAGAGAGATGGGATCAGATTTACAGCACTGTCAGCAGTTGTAGCTCTCATGGCTTCTCTCTTGGGCCAGTTTTGCTCACTCCTTGCGACTTTCCACAGACAATCCATGTTCCTGGCTTCTCCACCCTTCAGGGGTCTCCACTGCACTTTCAGATTCACAGACTGTCTTCTCAGGGGAACACTGCCTGGCCTCCCAGGCCTTCTGAAATCTGGGTGGAAGCCTTCCTGACCCCACAATTTTGCATTCTACATGTGCCTTAAACCAATGGCAATGTCAAGGTCTGCTGCCAACTGAAGCAGTAGCCAGGCTTCCTGCTCTCTTGGCTGTAGGGGTTGAATGTCTGGATTTCTGAATGCTCTGAATCCAGTCCTAAGGAACAGCTCCTTAGGTCACTGCCATTCTGGAACATGGTCTTCTGGAACTCTCTTCTCCAAGTAAAGTCTTTCACCTTTGTGATTTTGAGGCCCCAAAGGCCAGAGGTCTTCTGGTTCTTATGACACCCTCAAGCTGTCTTTTCTGTTGTGCAGTTCCAAAGTATTTGGCTATTTTCTGCCTGCTCTGCCATGAACTGTTTCTCTTGTATTATACTGCCCTGCTTCAGAGCCAGCTGACTGGACTGGAACCTTTACAAACTAAGCCGAACTAAACCTTTATTCCTTTAATTTGTGGGTGTCAGGTATTTTGTCCCAGCAACAAGAAAATAATTAAGACACCAATTAACAACATTATTTCCACTTTGTCATTGTCTTTAAACAGTTTTTGATTCCTTTGGCTTACATAATAATGTCTTAGCTTTTTTAAAACTTATATCCTATCTGATTTAATAACTTCATCTCTAAACTTTCTTTAATTCCTTGCCAATATATCCTTTGCTCTGGCTACTTTGAAATATATTTGTGCCTAGAACCTACCATCTATATTAGTTGTCACAATTCCAAGAATGGTGTGGGGAAGTGTTTTGTTTTGTTTTGCAGTGCTAAAGTAAAACCTACATTTTATTTATTTACACATTTATGAAAAAATTGAAAGAACCATAAATGACAGTTTCTATCTCTAGATAATAAGACTATTGGTGGTTGTTCTTTTCACTGTGTTCTACTGTGTCTTCTACATTTTTTTACGAGAAATATGTATTATGTCCTAGAATTAGAAATTTTTGAGGGATAGTATAGAGACTGCTTAGGTTTTTTTCCTAAATAATGAAAAAAATACTGTTTTAACAGAGTATTTTTCATGCTGTATTATGTTTAATTCTACAGTTGGAGTCTATGTGTTTTCGTGTATATAAAAATGTTCCAAAGAATGATCCTTTACTGGACCTATTTATCAATTTTTATTTTTCAATGAATTTTCTATATTGTTATCTTAGAGTATCTTATATATTTGGCAGCCATATTTTCTGCTCTGAAAAATCTTCAAGATAAGATTCGGCGCTTGGAACTTGAGAGGATTCAGGCAGAAGAAAGTGTGAAAACTTTGTCTAAAGAAACAGTTGAGTATAAAAAAGTACTAGATGAACAGATACAAGAAAGGGAGAATTCAAAGAACGAGGAATCAAAGCACAATCAAGGTTTGTTTTATTAAGAAAATTCAGTTCTATCAAAATAAGAATTGTAAATTTACTCAAAAACTTCAGGGATTACAAAATTACATTATGCTCATGCAGTTTAAGGAGCAGGTGTTGATTTCATATGTTATATTTACTGACTATAAGGTATATTTGACTAGCATATAGAAAGTGAATGATTTGGGTAATTAAAGAAGACTAGTATTACTGGAATGTACTGTTTATATATGTTTTAGATTGAATTCCTTATTAAAACTACTCTGGGGGTGAGCTGATTTCTGCTTTTCTTATGTATTCATTCTAGAATTGACATCTCAGTTGCTAGCTGCAGAAAATAAATGTAATCTTTTAGAAAAACAATTGGAATACATGCGGAATATGATAAAGCATGCAGAAATGGAGAGAACATCTGTCTTAGAGAAACAGGTATGCTGCCTCACAGACTGAAACTCAGTAGTTATTGCAACAATTAATTGAGGTAAAGACCTTTTTTCTCTGTGGTGACTTAATGCTACTGTAAGACTCCTGGGCTAAAAATTCTTAGGTTCAGTTATAGAATTGGCTCTTTGTTATTGTATTTAGCAGAATTTTATTTAAATTGGAAAAATGGTTACAGGGTATTTTAAAATTGTTAACATTCTTGAATCTGAATTATCAAAACTGTAAGTGATCATATGCCTCTATACCTCTTAAATTTGTTTTAAAGACTCAAGTGTGGTAGCATATTTGAAATTTCATAATTCTTTGTAAAGCTCTTTATAGTTGTTATTTTAACTAAATATTTTTTCTGCTGTTACACCAGAGGTCTTTGTATTTAAGTAACTTGCACATTTCTGAGAGAGTTTTTGCACCTTTAGTCTTCAGTAGGTTTTTAAGCAACCCTCCTTTTCCTACTATGACTATAGAATTTAAATTCATCATAAGCCATAATTCTGAACATCTTTATATAAAAGTTGATTTTATATAATTTTATACAAAATTTAATTAAATATGCTTGACATGCTAGGTACTCTACTGTATAAAAGAGAAATGCTATTGATGCTTTCTACCCTCAATTATCTTTCAGTCCTAGTTGAAGACATCAGTCTTAAGAAATACCTAAACAGTCATACAGCACTATATGAAGGAATGTCTAATCTTGTACATGTCTCATCACTATGCTGTTGAGTTTATTAATTATAATGACCATATTTTTATTTGATTGGGTCTTTTTCCATTTTTATTTTAATGTATTCTTTCATTCTTTTACCTCTGAGCACTATGGGCTGTTTTTTTTTAACTTGATTTTTCAAAATTAATCCTTTTGTTTGAGTTATTTTGGTAATTGTGTACATCATAAATTGCTTTATAAGGCAAATGTGAATTTGTATTTACTGATGCAAGGTGGATTTCACTGGTGTTAGTCCTCATTTATGTACTCTAGTTGTTTGGTATTCTTTCATTGTTGTAGATGATAAATTGCTGAGGTTTTACATTGTCTTCCTGTATATCTTATGTATGAAATTTCCAGTGGTGCCTCGTGATATTTGTCTTCAGTATATCCCTTTATTTGCTTTTAGGTTGTTACCTTCTGGATTCAATTGTGATTTTTCTTTCTAGCATTCAAACATGGTATATAATCATTTATTATTGCTGTATTTTGTCACGTTTCTAAAATGTCAGTTCACTAAGACATTTGTAAGATACCTTGACTAATGTACATAGCAGACTATTAGATGTAGATTATAGATGTCTGGATTATACTTGATTCATCAGTGAAATTTAAATACTGTGTTTAATATGGATAGTTCAATGGGAGGGACTCCAATACTTGAACAAATACACTGTAACTATCCACTAAAGTGAATAGAAGGAAATTAGTAGCTCACACTAATTCATGATAAAAATATCGTTTAATATTACTTTGTCAGTATTGTTAGTATTGATCATTGCTATAAACTTACATGTGAAGACAATATATTTATATGTTCAGATACTTAAGTGTTTTGGCTTTTTCTTATAGATCTTAATTTAGTATTTTTCCACTTCTTACTCTTACCTTCATGGTTTTTCCTGTGTCTGCCAGTCCTTAATTGTATATAAATGGCAGAGTTTTAAATTATTGGCCTTTAATTTGAAGAAAAAAATAAAAATGTTGTTGGGCATGCAGACACATGCTTATCCCAACATGGACAGACTAAGGTAGGAGCATTGAAAGTTCAAGGTCATCATAAGCTATAAAGCTGTTACAGAGCCTGACTACAGAGCAGGACTCTTATATTTTTAAATATGGTGGGAGGTGAATAAGCTTGTGTAAAAGATAAACATAAGACACCTATTTAGAAAAGTACTAAAGAGGACCAGACCAAGTAGAAAGAATCTGTGCTTATAAAGCCTGTATGTCTATTAAATTCCTGCTATTCCAGGGCATAAAGATACTCTTACCATATAAAATCAAATTATATAGAACAGTATACAGTAAGAACAATATTCATTTAAATCAATCACTTATTAATGTCCCTGTGGTTTTACCTTAATGTCATAATCTAGAGTTTCTCTCTGTATCTGAGAATTGTCTGAAAGGTCAGGTAAATAACATAGTATATCCGAAAAAATATGCAATGTTAGTAACTTTTCAGGTTTTTGATTATTAAATTAGTATGCTGTATTACATTGTTTCCCAGGTGACCCTAGAAAGAGAACGACAACATGATCAAACACATGTTCAGAGTCAGCTTGTAAAACTGGATCTTCTGGAACAAGAATATAACAAACTTACCACAATGCAAGCCCTTGCAGAAGTCAGTTAATGTATTTTTTTACTCATTAATGCATAATGATGTGTTTGTCATTTTTGGAAATTAATTTTGTATCTTGAATATTGATAGCAATAAAGTTGATCTTATAAAAAGGACATGTATAGGAAATTTTAAAATGAAAACAATTTGAAGAATGTTCATATTTTACAATCTTGGGGGTCATAAGGGAGTTATTTTTTTAAATATTGTAAGATAAAATGTTTTTGCATATTAAGGCTTGAAGTTCTTAGTTTAGGTTGTTCTCTGAATTAATTTTAGTTTTAACTGTGTAGCATTTGGGAAGCATTTAATACCACTGAATAAATTTTCAGATTTACCTTCATGCAGAACTGCATTCTTTGGCCATAGATTTTACCCATAATTTCATCCTACCTCAAAAATGACTTAATGAGTCACAAAGGAAAGTGTTATGAGTGTTTTCAAGTCCCGAGGCATTACTAGGTTGATTTAACATATTAACCATGTTTTAAATTTACAGCATATTACGTTGTTACACTAAAATTTTACTAATAGACACTTCATTTTGATATTTTTATCTCTAGAAAAAAATGCAAGAATTGGAAGCAAAACTCTTTGAAGAAGAACAGGAAAGGAAACGTATGCAAGCTAAGGCAGCTGAGGTAAGGTGAAATATCAGCAAGAAGGCTCTTCGTTTTTAATACTCTGGATATAAACAAACAGTTACATTTGAGGTCTTTGATTATTTACATTTTAGAAGAGTCCACTATATAATTTAATGTACAAAATTATGAACATATACTTTTACAAATAGAAAATTTGAACAGTTTTTTGTTTGTTTGTTTGGTACTAGGGATCAAACCTGTGTCCTTGTGCTTGTGAGGTAAGCAGTGGAACCGCTGAACTAAATCCCTAGCCCCTAAGATCTAGCTGGAGATCTAGCTCTCTTACTATACCATGCACAAAGCCCTGGTTTTGATACTCAGTGCTGCATAAAAAATTGTTTCATTTCTTGACACCATCAGGACACCAGGACAGAAACTGAAACACTGGTTGCCGTAGTACAGTTGTGGTGAATCTATGGCTTGTGTGCCGCAGTGGACTGTTTATATCATTGACAGCTTTAAAAGGTTGCCATCACTTCTATAGTAGCTAGTGACCCAAACCATCTGACAGAGCCATATTAAGAAAAGGAGCTCTGCTTTCCTAGTTTAGGATTTTATGTAATGCAACAGCCACCAGTTAGGCTGAGTAGATTCACAGTACATTGAATTTATATGCAGCAACCAAGCTGCATTTGTAGAAGATAGAAGATGGCTACCATCTTAAAGACTCGTTGAAGTTTTTTGTGTTTTTAAATGAAAGCTTGTTCTGAAGTTATTTGCCCAAATACCTCCCGGATACTTTCCTCCCCTTCTCGAGATCTTTATGATATTTCCAAGAATCTGTTCTCATTAATGTTAGAGGCAAGTCCAGATTTCAAAACAGGAGCAGAGACGCTGTAGTTCAGTCTTTTTTTTTGGTACTGGGGATCAAACTCGGGTCTTTGTGCTTGTGAAGCCGGCGGCAGAACCACTGAGCTAAATCACTGGGCCTGTAATTCAGTCTTTGATGAAGTATGTTGTGTCCTGAGTTCATGTTGTAAATGTGATCACAGGAATATAAATGCCATGTTACCTGTTCTAGTGCTCTCGAATTCTCTGATTTTGTTTGTTTGCTGTTCTGGTTTAGATCTAAAAATCCCCAAAAGTAATGTATTTGGAGATTGATTGAATCATGGTGGTGCTGTAATCAACAGAAAATTCATCCATCCATTTGTTCCATAGTTGAATATACTGTTTTCAAGTAGGGCTTGTTTGGAGGGAGGTCACTAGGGGCTGACTTAGAAGCTTATCTTTTTGTCTCCAGCTCCTCCTCTTGTTCTGTTTCCTGGATGTTGTGGGTTGAGCAACTTTCCTCCACTATGCCCTCCTGTCATGCCTTTTCTGCCTTGTAGCGAGTCAACCATGAATCCTCTGAAAACTGTGAGCCAAAATAAACCTCTTCAGTTTTAGGGTGTCAGATATTTTGTCCCAGCAACAGGAAAGATATTGATATATTCTCTTTCTGTTAAACCTGATAATATTTCCTTTTGTATTTACCTTCTAATCAGTTTGTGGATTTATATTTTTCAGTGTGCTTTCTTAGTTATGGAGCTTCATCTATATCTATAGATAGATAGATTTTTTGTGTGTGTGCCTGGGATCAAATTCAGGACCTTGCACTTGCGAGGCAGGCAACAGCACCACTGAGCTAAATCCCTGGCCCTGTGCAACTTTGTTTTTGACCTTCCACAAATTTTCTCTGCACACTCTGACTTTACAGAACGCTACTTCATTGTATCTCCATTTCCTCACATGTAATATGCAGACTTGTGGGTTATGCTTTATACACATTGTGTTGTTGAGTTCATTATATATGAAATGCAGAATATAACAAGTTTATTTTATGAATTTGAGGTTAATTTGTGGTTCCTATATTTTTCATTTAGTGGGCAAGAAATAGAGACCAAATAACTTGCTGCTGATGTACGTTATCAGTAAAGGTTATAAATTCTGGTAGTGAACACTAATGTAGTGGAAGAACAATGGCTTAGGGATGTGTGATTTCAAGTCTAGCTAATTCTAGAGTAGAACCTTGGGTGCATTACTTAATCATTCAGATCCCAGATTTTGCTATTGATAAAGTGACCTCCATTTTGTATATCTTAGTGTTGGGAGATCAGGTTAGACAAATAATAAAGTAATTTAGAATGTTAATGCTCTGGCTCAAAAATACAAAACAACTGGTAGGAAGACCTAGGTGGAAGTTAAATTGCTCAAAAAACCATTCTTTTGTTTACTGCTCGCACTCACTGTCTTAAGTCTTCCAAAGTAGTAATTTCCTACTCGTTGAGTTTTATATTTGCTGTATTTAAAAGAATTGTTACATGAAAGTGTTTAGGTGGTCCTGAGAATAGAGATCCCTGTATTAATTTGTCAGTAAATACATTTTGCTCCCAAAAACTGCAGTCATTGTGTAAAATATTAGAAATGATCTCAGTCTTGTTGATTCTTATTTTTTTCTAGTTTTATCATAATTTCCTGGAGAACTTTTTAAAGTACTTTAAATCTCGCAATCTGAATTTTTCTGAGATGTCAGATAATTTTGACACATATCAAATTTGAAAGAACCACTGTTATAGGCAAGATGTGTTTGTGTTTTTTTTAAGAATGCTAAAAGTTGGTTTAGGAAAAAAATGTCATTTTGAAACCCTTAGTAAATGCTTATGGAATTTATACCAGAAAGATAAGGTATTTTATTATAGTTAGGTTCCTGAGAAAAGCCTCTAGTGCTTTTGGACATAAGTTTCCAGTTCCTCCTTGTATTGTAAGTACTATATGTATGTTTTTAAAAAGTTGATATGTATGTATTTTGCTCTCCAACTGTTTTGCATGTATGGCACCATGGTAGATGCCATTTTTGAAAAGGGAAAACATTGAATGATCAGTTTAGAGTTAACATATATGACATGTGAGTCACTAAGTAGAATTCATGGAGCAACTATAAATAATGAAACTTTAGGTTCCAGAATGAAGAAGGGCATGGTTTAATATAGCAGTTCAAGATAGATTGAGAGATTAGTATTATAAAATATTTGAAAAAAGTTGAAATAGTGGTTCAGTAGTAGTTTTTTATTTCTACAGCATTGAATTTAGGCTCTCATGTTTTTCCTAGTTGCAGACTGATCTAGAAACAAAGAGGCTTACTTTTGAAGATAAAACAACTTCATATGCTCCCACCACAAAAAAAATTAAAAAAAAGAAGTCAAAACCACCAGAGAAGGTAAGAAAAAAGAAATAGGCAAAGTGTCATTAGTACATTGGGCAAAAGTATTCATAAATTAGTGAATCTTTTTTTCTTCACTCGCAAAGTGAAAGATAAGTAAAATTTACTATTAATTTTTACCCTGGTAGTGACATATATGAACGCATTTTGGAACTGCAGAATAATGTACAAATGTAAGTCTTATTCAGTCTGGCATTAGTGATCTTTGTTCAGTGCTTTAGGTGACTGTATACTGTTTCCCTACTTAGAGTATAACTGTTACTTTATCAGATAATTTGTTTTGCTAGCCTTTCCTGAGCTAGGATACGTATTGATACATATTAGTAATTGCTGAAGGCCATAGTATCAATATAGATTAAGCAAGTAGTAGCTAGGTAGTAATCTCAAAGTCTCAAGTTAATATAATCAGATTTTTTTCATCATGTGAATGAAAAAAATTCCTTTTCTTTCAGAAAGGACCTGTTAACTGTTTTGGTGCACAACCTCATTATAGATTATGCTTGCGTGATATGCCATTTGTGGCTGGAAAGGTAGGTGAGTTGGTCAAACTTCAGATTTTTTTTTTTACAAGGTAGGTATTTGAATTAACTCCACACATCTGCTTATCTGGCCTTTTTACCAAGTTGAATTATAGTAATCTAAGAATCAAAATGAAACAGAGACAAGTACTATGGAATTAGGGCACCAAGGAGGAGGTAAGGATAATTCAGAGCACTATCAGTTCTACTGATTTATATTTAGATAAGAATAGATATCATCAGTTTGTTCAAATCCAGGAATCTAATTCTCTAAAAAAAGTCATCATACATAGATTTGAATCTTTGTGTATATAAAGATAATCTTGTCAATTGTCAAATAAGGTGTGATTTCTAAGTGTTTAACTGTGTTCATATTACTTTTTCATGAACTCTGTGTTACTGGTTGTTTGATGTGTAGGTATCTCGAATGCCTAAGTTGTCAATTTTAGTAGCTTGGGTAGAAAATATTCTTTTGACTTTTATTTTTTCATTGATCTATTTAAAACCCAAATAAACCTTCAGAGAACAAGTTGGATGTGGTGATAAGCTTAATCCTGGCCCTCAGGAGTCTGAGGAAGAAGGATTGTGAGTTTGAGGCCAGCCTGGAATACAGAATGAGACCCTGCCTCAAAATAGTAAACCTTCAGGAACAGATTAGGGAATGAACTCTTTCCTAGCTTTTCTGCTTTTATTATGCAGGTGTATGAGATACACACTGTTTTTGCCATTGCTGTCCTTTGCTATGAATTCAATCTCTTGTTGAGTTGCACACCATCTTTCCACTCACATTGCTACTTTTGTCTTTTACTCGAAGTTATATTTTGGCCTCACCTCACCATAGAATCTGAGTTTCCCGAGGACTGGCTAGCAGCATCAGAATCACTGAGCATGCACTTTGAAGAAGCAGATTATGAAACCCTGCCAAAAAGCTACTGAATGGAATAATCTGAGGATGGGCCAATAAGTACTTTAAATTTATTTCCTAGTCCCAGTTTGAAGTTTTGTTAAATTAGGATCCATTTAGTCCCATTTCCTATCCAGTATTTTTATTCTATAAACAGTTAAGACCAATAGCTGTCTGTTTTGTATTTGAAAAGTACGTAAAGACCTCATGACACCTCACGTAGGCCCTTGTCTTTCTAGATCTTTTTTATTTCAGAGTTCTTTTGTAAAATGAATTAAATCTATTACCACAAATTCTACTCATTGGCCTTTTTTTCTGTTTTCAGGCAACCACAGAACAATTAACCCTTGAATACCAGGAAATTTTGAAATGTTTCAGGATAGCTTTATTTTGCTTACCTCATCATGCTGTTCTAGGTCATAAACAAATTCTTTTTTCTTCAGCTTTTCATCAAATGTCTTTGTTTATCACCTTATCACCCTTTTCCTTCTTAAACTGAATTGTGCTATGATGCACAGAATAAAGTCTGCCATATTCAAATTGTTGGCTAGTCACCCTACCAGCATATATATGGGAAAGCACGTTATCCTTTCACCTATTGATTTTAAGGTTCACTGAGGTAACGGGTATTTTCCTAGAGCTTTGTATCCGCCCTTTTAAGTCCTGTACTTGTGGAATTTTTATGCATAATTTTTAATCATGTGAAGATCTTAAGGAATAGATTCATCCTGTCCCACTTCAGAATCTATCTCATTCTTCCATTATATTTGTTTTTCCCGAATTTGATTGCCTATCTTTAGTAATTTCCATTGAAGTCATTAAGAACAAGGGTTGAACAGGACAGATGCAAAGAAAAATATTTTTAACTTGTGATTTTTTGAAAGTATTTATATTCTTTATGAGATACTCAGATACATTGAATGTACTATTGTTTAGCTGAGTTTCTCAATGGACTGTGAAGGACCAGTTGTTTTTAACTATACATCATCACAGATGAGTATCTTTGTAAAATAAAACTGAATTATTAGAAAAATAAAATGTACAAGTTTATTGCTAGATTCAATACACATAAAATTAATACAAGCATAAAAATAACAGGAAGAAAATTTTAAAAACTACTGCATATTGAAAGTCCATATACAATTAGTATAGTGAACACACAGTTATCAGCAAAATAGTGATTGTACTGTTGGTCAAAATATTGGACTAACCTTGCATTTCTGGACTATACCCAACTTGGTTGTGGTGTAAAAGTATTCTTATGTATTGCTGCATTTAGTTTATTAAAAGTAGAATCTAAGAAGAGCATCTGTTCTGTTTAGCACAATGGATTCCAAATCTGGCTGATGATAATTAATTGGATGACTTAAAAATAAAAATTTCCAGGCCGTTTCCTCATATTAATTGAGTTTGTAGTGATGCCTGAAAGTCTACATTTTAAATAAGCTCTCCACTGATGGAATTCAAGCAAATGTTTACCTGTAGGCTGGAACAGCATATTGAGATTGTTGGTTAATATTCAAAACAAAAAACAATTTTTAAATGGCTGCTAGATTTTCCTCTTTATGGGACATGCGTGTACTTAGTGCTTCTTACTAATCAAAAATAGAAAAGTTCAGTAAAAGTCTTATCACCTGAAAGTACACTGACAGGTAAGATAATGCAAGCACAATGACAATATATTGTGAAATATGTTGTGGTTGAGAAATGTAGAAACTGTTGGTAGCCGGACACAGTGGCACATGTAATCCTAACTATCCAGGGGACTGCGGCAGGAGAACAAGTTTGACTAATAATTGACTGTTGGGTGTCTTTTTTTTTTTTGGTTGAGTGTCAGACCTTGACTCAAAAACGAGAGACAGAGATGTCATATAGTGTGAAGGACTTGTGTTCAATATCTAGTTGTAGTTAATCTGAGAAATGAACCAAGTAATTATCTGGTTTTAGGGAAACTGGTACAAGTTACATTGTGGTTGGGTTTGAAAGCATACTATAAAATCTCCAGACAAAAGAAATGACATCTGCAGATATCATTTGTTCACAGCATAGACATTAGGAGATGGCAGGACATAGTGCCAGGAAATAAGGTTGCAGATCAGTGATAGTCTTGTCTTCCATGCAGAGGAATTTGGAACTGCTGTCAACTGTTAGTTGATTTAAATCAAAGAATTTCAAACAGGTAAAGATGATCAGAATATTTTAAGATAACTGATAGCCCTATAATTAAAGAAAGGAGGAAAATGATGTTCGCCCTATAGTTAAAGAGGTAGGTTTATAAACCAGATGAGTAACAGTAGTGTGGAAGACGGAGCACTATTTCTCAGGTTGGATCCAAATAATTTAGTAATTTACTGTAGAGTATTTTATGTCCTAGGCTGTGGGAAGGTTTATTATTATTAAGGTTAGAGAGTAAAAAGAAAACAGGAGTGAAAGATTTTGCTTCATTTATTTCTTAATAATTTCTCTTTTCAGTCCACTAGTCCTAGCCATGCTGTAGTAGCTAATGTTCAGCATGTCTTGCATCTAATGAAACAACACAGTAAAGTATTGTGCAATGATCGAGTAGTGAACAACATTCCTACGGCAAAACAAGTATCTTCACGAGGTAATAGAAGTAAGAAGTCAGCAACACCTCCCTCTTCCAGCAGCATCAGTGAAGAATTGTCAGAAGTCTTACAGACTTTACAGGATGAGTTTGGCCAGATGAGCTTGTGAGTTTTTGTTTTAAAAAACATTTTTAGCTTCTTGATGACTACTAATGCTAGTTTCATTCAGCAATTATTTTAAGCACAATTTTTGTGCCACCCACCTTATTAAGACTGCACAAATATAACCTTTATGGGTAAAATCTCCTCTAATACTATTAAAATTTAACAAACCAATGTTTGCATTTAGAGAGCTTGATTCATATTTAAGTTTAGCAAAACTTCACTGATGAGTTAGGGTAGTGTTGAAGATTAGTTTCCTTCTAAATTTGCCTGCCTACATGTATAATACTCTTGTAGGAGAAATGAACTATAAACAATTGAATACTTTCAAATTAAGAACTGTTGCATTTCCTTCAATGCTTTTCTTAAACTTTTCAACTATGAATAAAAATTTCAAAATCTGTTGCTCTGTTTAAAGAAGAAAATGACCCTTTAAAAACCATACCAGGACAGCAGTAGCACCTTGGTAGGTTCAGATATGGTGGACCAAATTGTGAAACCCAAAAAAACTAACCAAGCTCTACTTTTGCTTTGTATATAGCGATCACCAGCAGCTTGCAAAACTTATACAGGAGTCACCAAACACTGAACTGAAAGACAGCTTAGAGTGTGAACTGGAGGTATTAGTGGGAAAGATGGAAGCAAAAGCCAACCAAATAACTAAAGTTCGAAAATACCAAGCACAGGTAACTCGGTTTTCCTTCACCTAAGTTTCAAATGATCTAAAAAAACACTTCAGATACATTAGTTGATGACAGCAACTGTATGAAGAGCTACCAGAGCTAATTATTTGCAAGACAGTTTCTAAGTTCAATTACTGTACTAAGAATTGTTTCATGGGTTAAATGCTTTTGCTTAGATTTTATCTACCAATAAGATAAATCTTTCAGATACTGAATATTAGCAGTCTTAATTTATGAATAAACCTTCTGAGACCAACTTAAATGGTCAAGTTTGTCCAAATTGGGTCTTATAAAATACACCTAGAGATTGTCTTGAAAGGAATGTCAGGTGTAAATATGTGAAAATCGTTGTTACTCATATTAAAGAAATCAATCATTTTCTTAATATCAATTAAATGTAGTATCGCAGTCATACCCAAGGGTTTTTATCTAGAATCACAAGGATCCTTGTTTTATTTTTAACTACTGTGACTGCTGGCATTAAAGGGATTGGGTCAATATTGAGAGGCTGAGTCCAGCTAGGCTATTAGGCTTCTCAGAGGTAGTTGTTATTGGTCCATGACAGTAATTGGAGAGATTTGAAGTGTGTTTTGGATAGAAATACCAAGTTTTTGCTGCTAAATACAATATGGGCAGAAAGTATTGTGAAAGTACTGTTGTACTACTAACTGAACAAGTTTTGCCATTTGTTAACTGGAAACCAGTAGGCACAATGTCAAGTGTTTTCAATATGTTAAGTCATTTAATGCACTCAAAAAATATGTAAGGTGGTGAAGTGTGGGTCTTTTGGTTTTTTTCCCATTTGATAGATGAGGAAATAGCGCCAAATTTTTCGAGCACCTTACATACATCAGGAAATTTTCAGTAGCCCAGAGACATGCTAGTTCATTGGTAAATAGCAGAGCTGACCAGACTTGGTTGTTTTCAACTCCCAAATGTGAACTTTTTTTAAAAACGTGCTTTATTTTTCTAAAGTTCATGTTAAAGAAATAGATGCAAATAATTCCTGTAGGCATAATGGTTTTACTTGTTTGTACATTAGACTGTTTTATTCTAATGAAACACCAACATGTCAGTAGCAAGTTTGCTAAAGAAAAAATAAAATTCTCCCTTAAATTATTCCAAAAATGATAACGACTAAAATTTACATTTTTTTTCATAATAGTAACACATTACTGTATCTCTTCATCCATCTGGAACTTGACTCTTGGCCTGTTCAGACTAGTTTCTACAATGCCTGTTTCCTCATCTCAATAGTATCACTCTTTGCCTCCTCACGAATCCTTTCCCCAGCCCTACCTCTGAGAAGCTTCACAGCCTACCTTGACTCAGACTCTCTGGCTTGACCGAATCCCCTTGATGCTAGCAGTCACATAATTTTTTTTAATGGATCCTTGTGATTCTGGATAAATACTCTTGAGTTTGACTGCCGTATTACATTTAGTTGATAGTAAGTAAATGACTGATTTAGGCAACACTGCCTTAATGTGTTTGTTTACTCGTTTGCTTGTATATTCTATGTGAAGTACAAGTGTTAAATAACTAGTATAATGAAATTTTAAAGCTTTTATAAATACATACCTAGAATGCATTATTTGAGTTTTGGTTAGTATGAGTTATTGTAAAAGTACTGCTTATCAGAAGGAAATGTTTTTATTAAATTCTCCTTTTCCCTGCCTTGGTTATTTGGTATAGCTAGAGAAACAGAAGCTAGAGAATCAGAAAAAGGAACTTAGAGCTAACAAAAAGACTCTTGATGAAGAAGGAAACAGCAGTAGCCGTTCTTCAGGACTCGCAGGGACCCTAAGTAAAAAGGATTTTGCCAAACTGAGACCTGGAGAAAAAAGCAGGAAAAATCTTCAGTTATTGAAGGACATGCAAACCATACAAAATTTATTGCAAAGCAGTAATGTGTGTTGGAATTACTGACTGCTCACAAAAGGTCATAAATTTTATTCAGATAATCTGTACCTCATCGATCAGATATCGACAATTTACTTTCCAGGTTTCATGCTCACTAATGTTGGAATAGAAGGTGTTCAGGCCTAGGCTTCATTACACAGGTTTGTTGTGTTTTGCCACAAAACTGAATTTTAAACTATGTACGTAAATGAAAATCAAGGGAGTTTTAAAACTTGAGAAGCCACATTCATTCTTTAAAAGTACACTGTACTGGTATATTGCACTTTGTAAACAAGTTACCAATTTTTTACTTGTGGTGTGATTTTTTAAAAAAATTCTTTCTATATATATATATATATATTAGGTTTAAAATTTTCAAAATACAAGACTGGCCCACAGGCAGCATTTGCTTGAAGTCTCATTTTTAAATCTTCCCTGGCATCAAGTGCCGACTTTACTTTTTTTGTACAACTATTAAATATACTTTGACTATTGATGGATATTTTCTATATTTAAGTATTTATATATTTAAGAGGATTTTCGTTTGTTTTGGTATTTTAATCAATGATTAGTATTAAATGCGTTTCTATTGTTTTTTTCAATATACTTTAAAATTTTTTCAAAGATCCAAGTTCTCATTTAAATCAGATCACTTACCTATAAAATTATAAATGCACTTTTAAGAATATAGATTGTTAATGCAACAAGATTTTACAAAAAGGTGAGCTAGAAGGGAGCTGTTGTGAAGCAGTGCACATTTGCAGTTTTGCAATTCCTTTTTGTAATCATGTTATTCAGTCAAGGCATTGTGGTTTGAATTTTGAAACTTAAGATAACCCCTTGAGTATTTGTCTTTGGTGAACATGACTGCAATAAGAACTGTACACATATAATTATCATATCAATGTAAATCTGAATAGATCAAGATGTGTTGACTTTTTATAATTTTTCCACTGGAGTCAATAAAGCAGCTTTTTAAAAGGAAACTGAAATTTTACTTAGCCTGATAACAAAGGCTTTATTGTAAACTAAAAAATAATTCATACTGTATATACTGTCCAACACTTAATTTGCCATTCTCATTCTTACATAAAAACTAAGCCCACGAAAACTGAATTACCTCATAATGTGGAAGAACCTTTTAAGAGGGTTATAATGAGCATATGAGCCAAATATGACAGGAATTCCTTTTATGTGCCTCCTTGGGAACTGAGATGGAGGATAAGTATTATATCTAAATAACATGAATTTTTCTAGCTGATTACCAGACTTGTCAAGCTTCTTTTTAAAATTTTCTTCAGTTAGGAGTTAATTTAGTATGCTTACATAGATGACATTTGTGAATCTCCTGACATTGTAAATAAACTTTTGCTTGTGTGTACAAATTTCCTGACAAGCAGGTTTGTAATGAATCAGTGATGAGTCCATAGACCCAAGGAAGATGAGAAAGTGCTCTAATGACCTGGTAAACATTTCGTGTGTCTCATGTCCCATTTCAGTCATTAAACTTTTGTAATCTCCTTGTTGTAGGTCATTAAATTGTACAAGCTATCACTTGAACAGTTGTCTCCAACTCCTAATTAGAAGAATGATTGAAAGATGCTAAATCCTACTGCCCCTAGGCTAGGATTCAAATTGTACCTTCTCCAGCTTTCAATACTCTTATGTGAGAACTGAAAAAATACTAATTTTCTTACATGGTTTACAATGGAAGAATATGTCCATTTATGTTATAGCAAAACTTACTGCAGTGCATTTCAAGTCTGTTCTGTGTGTAAGATGCCAGCATGGACACCAAGCTGAGTGCATCAAAGATTCATGATCAGACATTTGAATTACCTCGATACAGTGTAGTGAATGTAGTGCTAAAGGCCATGTACACTGCTGAAGGGACACACAGGAAGGCAGGGTATGTCAGAGAAGGAAGTGATGGAATAACTTTCTGGAGGTAGAGATGATGCCTAAACTGTAGAAAACAGGAACTAATCACAAGGATGAACAATTCAAAAGTGGGTTGTATCTGCAGTTTACATGGGAGAATTGTGAATACAGTAACTGCTAACAGTTGAAGTATGCAGAGCAGAATAGAGGCATGGGCAGAGAATAGATTATGGAAAGCTGAGCAGCTTCAACTTTATCATGCTTGTCTCTAAATTTTGTATACTTGATCATAAAAGAAAAAGTACACTGTACAATGCAGGTATAAAGTTGAAAAATATGTAATTGTCAACAAAATACTAGGTTATGTGTAAATACATAAATGTGCTAATGTGTTTCTTTTACACATATGCCCGTGGCTTATTTTAAGTGCTTAAATGCATACCATACAACTGTGCCTGGTAGGTTCACTAAGGGAAGCTACTGGAATGTTTTGAACAGAAATGTGAAAATTTCGACTTAAGGCTAGGATGCTTTGCTTTGATCTGTTTAGCATTCTTTTGTTGTATCACATTACAAGGCATAATTGGAGAAATAGAATAGCAAATGAATCTTTGAAATACTTGATCTCGTAGCTTTGATACTGATTGGCCATTTAAATACTGCTTAAATTTTCTTAGAGCAAATTTAACACAATGACCAAATCATTTTGGTACCAACTTTGCTAGTGTTGGATGTACTAAGTAGAAACCATGAATCTTTATTGCAAGATGAACTGCATAGCTAAGTTTTAGACTATATCAAATAAGTGTAAAAATGCTGTATTTCAAATTCAACATTTCTAGGGGTTAAAAGAACAAGATAATCAGCTCTGGACAAAGTTTTAAATTAGTTGAAATTTCTTTTAATAGACCTAGGGATAAGAAGCTCCTTTGTTACAGTACATTACATATGGCTCTTTGTATATAGACACATTAGGGAGTCAAATGTTTATACCAGCACCAAACTCAGGTGAGCAGTGAATCAAAATTTCTTTCACTGGTGAATAGTGAATCGAGATTTCTTTTACTGGCACTGAGACTGTATTCATCTTTACATGCAGTATATTCTTTGGTAGACTTTTGATGGAATTATAGAATTTGCAAAGGAAAATAGTAAACTAATCCATGTAAGTTTTAAGCACAATACTTATCACCATGAACAATTTCTACAGACTCAAGGAAAGTATATTGCCTTAGAACTTGCCAATTAGCATTAAATAAAATGAAGTGAGATAAATGAGTTTTAAACATACTTTTCATGATGTTTCTTGTAAGGGAACAAATTTTAAAGCCTATGGAATTCTTTTGATTCATAATGGCTGCTGCTTTTTCCCTTTCATCCTCCCCAAAACATGGCTATAAGGCTTCATTTTGGAACAGCTATCTAAAACACTCTAGTAAAGCATATAAACAATATTAGCAGCAGTTTTTATCTAACCATAACATTCTCATATTTGTACCTTGTACTCTTAAGTATGGAGGTTGAAAGTGGATCATGATCAATCAGTTACAACAAAGGAAAGGAATATTATATAATTTTAATCCGTCATACATCAAGGCAATAAATGTGATTATCACAAAATTTCAATAGCAATTTGGTCTGGAAACTTATTTTTCTGTGTAGTGAGCTTTCTTCCATTCAGTGGTATATTTCTGAAGTGGTTTGTATTTTGCTTTTACCAGAAGCCAGAGTTTTTCCCACTATGGATACAGACTTGAAATATTTTAATATATTTTGGGTGACATTAGTGTCGTAATTGTATAATTACAAATGGGGCCACCCATACTGCTATAGTTCTAAACTCATCTTAGACAAAATAAATAAAGTATCTATACTTTCTCTTGAAAGTGTTCAAATATGGAAGAATTTCTACTCATAAAGCTGCCACTGTAATGAAGAGTTCATAGCAATGATAGCCCTAATAGTTCTTTCATACAACAGTTTGGACAGGAGTGACACAATGTGCAGGAGAGCTGGCTCTCTCTGAGGATGAGGTTGATCGGTTGGAAATTTCTCTTTGTAGTTCTTCTACTTTTTTCTGAAGCTCTGCTCGTTTAGCAAGAAGTTCTTTATATCTGCTGTGAATAGGTTCCTACAAGAAAACATAAAATTACTCAACTGGCAATCCTAGCCAAACCCAAGGTCACATCATTTCCTAAATGTTGCAATCTGTTCTTTTAGTGACTGATACGAATCCCATCTTTTCAACCCATCAGTGGAAATTAGATACTGTTGTCACCACTTTTCTTTTCCAGTGCCCCTGAGTACTTCCACAGGATACCCACTCTGGAGCTGTTTCTGCAACTTGTACTTTTATAAATATAACAAGTAATTTTAAAAAAAGCCAATACTCAAAAGATTCTGTCATTTAGTTGCAGATTTTTAGCCATGAACAGTTTTAAGTAGTAAACATTTGATAAGTTACTCTGTACCAGAATTTTATTGGACTTTTTAACTTTCCTAAAGCTTCACTGTAAGACTCCCAGAAGTTAATCGAATGAGGAAAGCACAAAAATACTTGTCTATAAAGTCAGAAGAATTGTGTATAGAGACTTACCCAATGTGCTTTTTCTACTACACAATTACAACTATTAATAGGTAGAGTAGAAGGATACAGATCTAATACAGTTGGGTTGCCCAAATGAAAACTCCCATCATATATTGTACCTGTGGTTTCATCCGTGGATTCCACCTTATGTAATATCCCACCCAAAGCTCTAGGTGGCGCATGCTGGCTACTGGATAAAGGACATGATTGGAATAGCTCCCATAGAGAGGATTAGTAAAGTCTTCCAACTGGCTATTTATATAAGACCACAATGACACAGTCCTTTTAGGAAGATTCTGTAAAAAGGAAAAATATATTCTGCCATAAGCTATACTTTAGATGAAATGTGTAAAAAGGTTCCACAAAAGAAGGCGTAGACTTGGACACTTTATACTGTAAACCAAAGGGTACTGGAAAAGTACAAGTCCTCAAAGAGTTAAACATAAGTTATCATGTGACCCGGCAATTACAATCCTAATGAATTTGAAAAGGTCTAAAAAACTTTATTCAAATAGTATTTTTCATAGCCAAAACAGCCCATCAAATAATGTGTATGAACAGAATACTCATAATGGAACAATGCTCAGCAATAAAAAAGAAATGATCCCTGCTTCAACACTAATGAATCTTGAAAACAGTATACTAAGTGAAAGCCAGACACAAAAATCCATTTAAAAAAAGAGGCAAATCACAGAGGTACCAAGTAGGTTAGTATTTACCAGATGCTAGAAGAGAATGAGGTTTCACTACTAGCAGGTGTGGGTCTTACTTGGAGTGATGATAATGTTCAGAAATTAAATGGTAATGTTTACACAACTCTAGAACACTAAAAGGCCATTATATGCACAAAAAGACTTATCTGTTATGTAAACTGAGTAAAAAAATTTGCTCAAGTCAAGATACAATGAATCCTACTGAGTTTCATAAAGTAACTAGAATTTAAATGCCATTCTTAATTTTCTGACATTCCTTAAATTACTGTCTTCCCCACATGGAAATAACTTTTACTGATGCCAGAAACTGAAGAAACAATAAAACATTCAAAGTACTTAATAGTCTAAGAAGAAATGAATACGCAGCAGTTTCTGTGGTATTTTGTATGGCTTTATTTAATCTTCACACTAGTAACATTAAGGAAGCAAAAATAAACTACATTTTCAATGCATGATGCTATACATCTTTCAGAGATGTGACTTTCAAAAGGTAACTGGACCATGGGTCACCTTGATTGTAGGGTGTATCTCTCACTCTGGCTCGTGTGTCCTTACCATACCATACCAGTTCTGCCTTGGAACCAGCAGACCAAGGATTTGAACCCTCTGAAAAATGAGCCAATAAACCTCTCTTCCTTTAGGCTATAGTTGTTAATTTTTTTAGAGTGCAAGTTGATACAGAATGTGGCACCAATGAAGATGATTAAGATGTTCCTATTAGAGGTGTATTTTGAAAATGAAAATTTGAAATATAATCCTTATAAGCAGTTAATACCAACCTCTTTTAACAGTGATATCTCCAGGAAGAGCGGTAATGAAAAACTTTGTGTGTATCAATCTTACAGTGTTATCTTACAATTTAAAAAACAATTTGTCTTATTTGTATGCAGAATATAACATACTTTGAGATTTGAGCTCCCCATTCATTCAAGGGTTGTTATTTGATAATTATAATTTTTTACATCCATTTTTTAAAGGTTTCTGTCCTTCAGGGAATAATGGGAACACTGGTAATCCTGAGGTTCCACTATTTCAGTTCTCTTCAGCAAACACTATTTCCCATCTTATAAACTCAGCTGACAGTTACCTGGTACCTTCAGCTTTATGACACGTATTTCAGAATATATCAGCTCTAGCTGTATGACAAAGTACAGCATATACAACAAAATATGACATATATGACCAAAAATAATATACAAAACAACTTTAATCGACATCTGTCAAAGTGCATCCTTAAGAGAAAAGTGCATAGTAAGGACAGTGGAAAGATGTAGGACTCATGGCTATTTCTTTACCTCTTTTCCTCTCTGCTGTTCACTGTTACAGAGGAATGTTCCAAATAAACAGCTGTATAGGTGGTCCAAAATGGTAATGAGGAAATACTCATTAAATTCAAATGCGGTAGGAAACTGCAAATACATAAAATTGAGACTTTTTTTCCAAGTATATTCATTCTTGTCATGAGTAGATCCTCTGTAATGGTATTTAAAATTAAGTCTAACAACATTCAGAACTACAAACCTTGAGGGCACTGTCTGCTTAGTTTTCTGTTCAAAAATTATCAATTTTCTGAGGTAATTTCTCCCAAAATTTGTCTTCTGCAGCAAGTCTGAATGTTCTGCCCATTTTGTTTCTGTTTTTAAAATCTATTAAACCCTAAACTTTCTGCCAAGTAAGTTTTGGCAAGTCTAGTCTTCACCTGTCCATAGTAAGATTTTTCTTTAAACTTTGAACATAAACAGAGGTAACAGTGTGTTCACAAAATAAGAGTAACACACAGAAGTAATTATACTACACAGATGTGTAGATAATTTACAACTTTATTTATCTTTTCAAGGAATATCCTGTCAAAGCAGAATTTCTTATAATCCACTACTATGGCATCACCCTCTCTAACCAGGGCCAAGCGCCCTTACACTTGCAAGGCAGGCAATAGAACCACTGAGCTAAATCCCCAGCCCAACTTTCAATCTCAGTGCCTTTTTTTTTTTTTTTTTGGTACTAGGGATCGAACTCAGGTCATTGCACTTGCGAGGCAGGCAGAGAGCTATCGTAATTTTATACAATGCAATTTGGGAGGACTATTCAAAGGATCCTAAAAAGATAAAATCAATAGTTTAAGCCATCCTATCAACATTTCAAAATTAGTCCAAAGCTGCTATGTGAGACTACCAGTTACAGGATAGTGAAAAAAATTTCATGAATATGTGATTGCCTATTGGGGAAAGTACTGTTTTCAGGTATATATTATGAAGTCTTTGCCCTGATAGAAGATGAAAAATAGCATAAACTGCTGCCAATGAGAATAAGGATGAAAATAAGCTGGGCTTACAATTGCCTAATTTTAGTAAGCTAAGGCCATGGTAACTTAGTAGCCTTCTCAGACAACGAAAGGCAATTAGTGGGCCCTGAGTAATTTTTGTGGCTCTGAGGCTGAATGAAGCAGGTGATCAAGCCAAGCGTATGCCAGTAACAAAAAGCCAGCTGACTATAAAAAACTGTCATATCTTATTCCTTCACTTAGTTAATCCTATGTCCTGTGTTTGTTACACACTTAACAGTCTTAATAGCCAAGTATAAATACATTCTGACTCTGCAATTCATTCATCATATTGGCAAACCTACTGCAGTTGCAAGAAAATAGCTTAATAATTAATAGTGGGTATTTCTTCAACAAATCTGAAATAGAGCAGCAATTTCTGCTACTGCTTTTAAAATTCTAAACAGATGAGTATTCTGTCTTCTTTACATGGTAATAACATGCAGGGCCTTTCAACAACTGCTTTCTGATCCCAGTGAAGAGATGAGAACAGACACAATATGGCTAATCACAACATACTAGCCCCATTTTACAAATAGCTATGTATGTCTGCACTGATACTCAAGCATTTATTTGTTGCTTGTTTAGACTGCTAATATGACTAGGTAATATGCTTTATGTATGTTCAGGAAGAAAATATATCACAGCCAGATGTCTAAAAGGCCGATATAAAGTATCTTAATTTCTATCAAAGAAATAGATTTAAACTAATTTTGTAGTAACTACTTTCATATTTCTAAAACATTGAACCCTGTCCTCTTATAATAAACCAAGTGTATTTTGGTTTCCTTTATTATCTTTTCAAAAGATGAAATTAATTTATATTAATATTTCAAATGTTAGAAAGCTTCCAGAATGTTTAAAAACCATAGTTTTCTCCATCCCTAAAAACAACTGAATCTGTTACTAACTTTGCTATAATGTCTATCCAAACATACTTTCCCTTAACATAGTTAAAATTACTTGGAATAAGATTTTATTTGGCTTTGAGCTATGTAGCTTTTTTTTTTAACCTTCCTTAGCAATGTACTTGTAGGCTTCTATTTAATGCTCTTTGTTCAAAACAAAGGAAGCCTTGCAGAATATCAGTGCCACTCAATGAAATACTAATGGAATCAAACTGTAAAATATTTAATACCTCCCCCTTTAAATAATTTTTAACCTAATATATGGTGACACTAAATGAAAAGTCTACTCCCTGAATACCTTTCAAGAATTTCATTTTACATGAACTACTGGATAATCAATCATTGACCAAATCTCCCAATTCTGAGCCTGAAGGAAATATGTAAGTTACCTGTCTTGTCATTTGCCAGACACAGTCAATAAACTGAAGGAAAACAGGTGATCTGTCTGCATCTGCATGGTTCTTATCTCCATGGCCAATTCTCTGAAGCAAACAAAGTGAATATATTTAGGATTTTTCACTTTTTAATAGAAGAAAGAAGCAATATTTATTTAGTATTTTTTTCACTTTCAAAAAATCTTTTTAAAGAGCATTACAAAGGAAGTAGAAATCACCATCATTCTACCAAGCAGAAATATCTATTAACATTTTCATGTACAAAGTGCTGTTTTTCTCAAATGAGATACCTGTAAGAGGAATTACCTGCCATGATGCTTAATAAATGAAAACCAAAAAACCGAAAGATTAATAAAGTAGCAAGCAGCAGACTCTAGAACCCAGATTTTTGTCTTGGAGATTTGCAATTACTTGTATAGTAGTCTCAGAAAGCCCCCTTCTCTTCTACTATCTTTGCCAGTGAATAAAAAATACCTCTCATCAGGAGGAAAAACAGCACAAATCTTTGAAACCTTTTCCAAAGTGCTTGACATTCACTTTCCAAACCTGTAGTCACCCACCCCTACCTTTCCTTTCCTTCATAAGGTAAGGACTTCTGACACTGATTGGAATAGAGCTCTGATCCTTATCCCAAAACATGGATTCACACTTAAAAGTATACTCCATAGACTTCTGGAGACTCTCAGGTCCAACTTATTTTACATTTAGTAATGCAATACAGAATAAAATGTGTGTTGCCTTAGGAGGATTCAAGCAAAGCTGTGGCACCAAACTGCAATGGTGATAATTCTACCCTGTCAGACATTAATACAGAAAATACATAAAGTGCTTCTGGTACACAATGACACAGGACAGCAAGAAATAGCACTTTGTCATGGAACATCATTTTTCAAAGAATAATTTATACATCAACTGTAGTTAGTAAGACTTTAATATCTGGCAGACACTTTTTAAAATACACAAAACTATCACTAATTGTAAAATTTAAGCTTTTGAAGCCAGGTATGGTGGCAAATGGCTGTCATCCTAGCACTTGGAAGGCTGAGACGGGAGGATCACCACAACTTTGAAAGCAGCCCAGGGCTATGTAATGAGTTCAAGACTAGCCAGAACAACACAGTGAGAGCTTACCTCAAAGGAACAACAAAAGCTTTTGAGTGAAAATGAGGTTTTTAGAAAACTTACCCTCCTAATGACCTTAAACACTTTAGGCAATGTCGATGATACTATTTGATGTGATTTTATGATATTGTACTATGAAATGCTTGTTTGGGATAGCTTTATAACTCAGTAGGCTAGTATTTTCCAGATAACCAATGATGTTATGAAATCATACATGTGCAATATACTATCCCCCAAAAAATTTTTTAAAAATATCAACAGAATTTAATGGGCAAGAACAATAAAAAAGCCGGGTGCGGTGGCGCATGTCTGTAATCTCAGCATTCTGGAGGCTGATGCAGGAGGATTGCTGTGAGTTCAAGACCAGTCTGGGCTACACAGTGAGTTCCAGTTGAGTCTCAACTACATATTGAGACCCTGTCTCAAAAACAAAACAAAACAAAAACCCAAGAAAAACATACTGACTTAGTTTTAAAGGATACCACATTATAGCTAATCCTTAACAAACATCTCTCAAGTTTTCATATAGTATCAAATAAGAATATTCATGATTTCCTGGAAAAGCTAATAAAAAATGCTTTCCATATACACAAGACTTAGGCGGCCCCAGGCAAAGGCCCACCTGAACAACAGGAACTCACTTGCACAGGCCCCAACCAGGGCCCTACCCACACACCACTGGCTTGAGCGTGCAGGCCCCATCCAAAGGTCCACTGGAAAACAGCTGTGTAGGCACATAGGCCCCAGCCAGAACCCCACCCCAACAAAAGTGAAGGGCAGGGATCTAGAAGGCCATCATTCTGAACCTAGGAATTGGCACAGTGGTAAGCAGCAGAGAGGCTTCTCTGAGGCTTGCTGAGAATTGAAGCCCATTGGATGAGCAGTCACCTCAACAAAGGCAGAGGAGACAATATCTGTTAAAATGAGAAGACACATAAGACTTCCAGATCACCAAAGGCAACCAATTCCAAGAGGCAAGGAGGTAGACCAATCTGATACTCAACAATCTAGATTTCTTGAACTGGCAATGAAAAAACATCTGGAAAAAATAAAATCAGAAATAATTTCTTAGATAACAGAGATTGTGTCCACAGTGAAAGACAGGATTAATAACTCTAGAGCAGATACAGATAAAAAAAGAAATAGAAGAACTAAGGAATATGATGGAATCCCAGCATAGGAAACAAATGGAATCTATAAAACAGATCCAAACATATCCAGGAGATTAAAAATTCCATTGAAAGTATACTTAGAATGAGCTCGTGTGAGGATAGAATATCAGATATAGAAGACAATACTGCAATTAATGACCAAGAAAAGAAAGATTTCTTAAAAATAATAACGGACCATGACAATCCAGCTGCTGCTAGATGATGCAGATAAGAATATCAAGACTGACTGGAGTCCATGAAGAAACAGTAACTAGTGCAAATGACATTAAAAAACTGTTCACATGAATTCCAACTAGCACTCCAAAAAATTTTAAACAATATTCTTGGAAAAGACAATGAAGGTCACATTCCTAACAAGCCCTGCAGAATGAATCCATAAGACAAGAAATAAAATGCAAAGGGGGAGGAGAATCCAGCAAAAACAAAGTCATGACAAGGATAAGTCAATACATATATAAGTTATAACCATTGATCTCAATGATCTCAATTCACCAAGCAAAAGAAATAGACTGGCAGAATGGGTTAAGAAGCAACAATATGCTGAATACATGAAATAATTCCAAAAGAAACTTACAGACTGAAAGTTAAAGGATGATAAACAATACTCCACAGGACAGGAACCTGAAAAAAAAAGCAGTAGCTATCCTCTTTGTAGATCAAATGGATTTCAAACCAAAACTGATTAAGAGACAAAGAAGGCCACTACATCCTTGTAAAGGGAACAATCCAAGAGGAACAGATGACATTCATGAATATATATGCACCAAATACTAATGCCCCCAACTACACAAATATTAATGTACATAAAAATAAAATAAGCACTAATACAATAGTAGTGGGGGACCTCAATACCCCATTGTCACAAATAGATCAACTAGACAATAAAAAACAAAATACTAGAACTCAAACTCTTGAACAAATGAACTTAACAGATGTTTACAAAGTGTTCCACCCCACAATATCAAAATACAAATTCTTTTCAGCTGCACTCTGGACATTCTCCAAAGCAGACCACGTACTTGCTCAAAGAACATGTTTAAGTAAATGGAAAGGAATTGAAGTTATCCCACATATATTATCTGATCATTGTGTGATTAACTTGGATTCAAAAGCAATAGAAACAATTATTTCATAAACACATAGAAATTGAACAAAATACTCCTGAATAACCAATGGGTAACAGAGGAAGTTAAAGAAGAAATCAGAGTGTTTCTACAATTAAATGACCATGTCAATACAACATATCAGAATCTATGGGCCCAATGAAAGCAGTCTTTACTGGGAAATTTATAGCAATGAATACTCATATGAGAAAAAGAGAGTAAATTAAAATAAAAAAAACCTGATGCTGAACCTCAAGCTCCTAGAAAAAGAGCAGGACAAGCCCAAAGCTCATGCAAGGGAGGAAATTATAAAGATCAGAGCAGAAATCAATGCAGTGGAGACTAAGAGAATGATTAAAAAAAAAAAAAATCAATGAAGCTAAGAGTTAGTTCTTTGAAAGAATAAAATTGACAAACCCTTAGCCAACCTTATGAAAAAAAAGGAAAGAAGGCCCATATCCATGCAATTAGGAATGAAAAGGGTAAAATTACAATAGACCCAGAAGAAATCAGAGGATCATCATTACCTACTTTGAGAACCTATATACACCAATAAGATGGAAAACAGAAGAAATGGACAAATTTCTAGATACACATGAATTGCCAGAGTTGAACAAAGAAGACCTAAAACTTCTAAATAACCCAATATCAATCAATGAAGTTGAAAACATAATTAAAAACTTACCAATGAAGAAAAGCCTGAGTCCTGATGGTTTCTCTACTGAGTTCTACATGACATTTAGAGAAGAACTATCGCCAGCCACTACTTTTTAAACTCTCCAGTGAAATTGAAAGGGAAGCAATACTTCCAAATTCATTCCTGGAAGCAGAGAAAGACCCAACCGAAAAAGAACTGTAGGCCAATCTCCCAAATGAACATAAATGCAAAAATCCTTCATAAGATACTGCCAAATATAATGCAGAATATCATCAACAAGAACATACACCCTGACCAAGTGGGATTCATCCCAGGGATGCAGGAATGATTCAACATATGCAAATTAATAAATGTAATACAGTGTATTAATAGAGCCAAGGACAAAAACCATATGATCATATCAATGGATGCACAAAAAGCATTGCACAAATTTCAACACCCTACAGAAAATTGGAATAGACAGTCTATCTCAACCTAAGAGCCATCTATGAAAAACCAATAGCCAACATAATACTATATTGATCAAAAACTGAAATCCTTCATGCTAAAATCAGGAACAAGACAAGGATGTCCACTATCACCACACCTCTTCAATATAATTCTAGAAATATTAGCCACAGCAACTAGACAAGGGAAAGAAATAAAAATAATAAAGATAGTAAATGAAGAAGTTAAATTCTCATTGTTTCCAGATGACACTCTATAGAAGATCCAAGAACTGCACCAAAAGTCTTCTATACTTAATAACCAAATTCAGTAGAGTAGCTGGATACAAGGCCAGCACACAAAAATCAAGAGCTTTCCCATACATGAACAACAGGGTATCTTTCCAAAAGAATTGAAATAATCATACCACAGCGATATATGTGCACCCATGTTTATAGAGGCACAGTTCATAATAGCTAAAACTTAGAAATATTTCAATTGCCCATTACCTGGAGACTGGATAAAGAAAATGTGGCTTTTTAAATAAAATGGAATACTATTCAGCCATAAAGAATGAGAAACTAGAGACATTTATAGCTAAATGAATACACATTCAAGCCATACTCTTAAGTGAAATAGGACACGTGTTTAAATGCAGAATAGTTTCTGTGATGTGACAAACTGAAATTATAAATAAGGATCAAAATGTATAATACATAACATGAAATAGGAAGAAAAGGTCCAAAGGGGAAGGGCATGTTGGAGGGGTAGGGGAAAGGAAAGACAGTAAAAGAAAAAAATATGAGAAAAAGAAAACATGCAAACAAAGTTTTGTAAATTGGGAGGGGGGAGGGGTTGAAGGGAGGGAAGAGGAATGGGGAAAAATAAGAACCAAGATGTATCACGTAAAGGTACAAATTCCCAATGATGAATGTTATCATATTGTATACCTAAAATATACCAAAAAAATTAATGAAAATAAAATTGCTTTTCCATTTTCATATCTTTGGACAGATTTTCCTTATATACTTCAAAAGAACACATCCCAATAGACTGAGAAGCAGATATAAATATTAATATATAATTTATTTTTAAACATTTTGAAATTTTAAAAAATTGAACTATATTATCATACAGCATATATTGATATAACCAAATAAAGTTATTTTGGGACTTCAATAATTGTTAACAGGGTAAAGTAGTTGTGAATCCAAAAATTTTGTCAATCATTCCCCATATTAACCACGTAAGAATATTCTGAGTTATTGTTCTTTAATGGTCAAAATACTGTTTTTAGGGCTGGGGATTTAGCTCAGTGGTTCCGCTGCCTGCCTTGCAAGTGCAAGGATGTAAGTTCAATCCCCGGTACAAAAAAAAAAAAAAAAAATGCTGCTTTTATAATAAAACTAGAAATAGAGCCAAATTTATAAGTTTAGAAAGCCATACCAAAGTCCAACAGCCTTAAGTGTTTATGAGTGGGCATATCATTATTTGAAGAATTGTTTTAAATAGTCTTTTCTTAAGTATATTGAGAAATGCAAAGTGTGATCCATCTCAATAGATAGTAAAGATGTTAATTATATTTAACAGTTCAAGTTCAAAAGAGCAGACTGAACATTCTTTTTATTTATTAAAAATGCTAGCATACTCTGCTGTGGGACACTAATAGTTAATGTTAGAGCAGCACTTAAAGCCTTTCACAGTCTTTCAACTAATCTAGGGAAATGATTGCCTAGAAACCATGTTCTAGAGAAATCATGTCCTCTGACAATGTGGATCCCCTCTGCATGAATTCTCTAAATCGACCTCCCTCATGTCTACCCTTGCTGTGGTCATTGCTCATTCCCATCCACATTATTGCTCACCATGCTTCTCCTTCTTGGGAAAATAATGCTATTCTTAATTCTAAATTCTATTATAACTAACATACATAGACAGCACATGAGAAGAGCAAAGACTAGAAAGTTACTATTCACCAGTTTTTTGATTTCAAGTAGTGATTAGCAGAAGCACAGCTGAAAACCACTTGAACATTTAATTATAAGAAAGCAAAGGCAGGCTGGGGATTTAGCTCAGTGGTACCATCACCTGCCTTGCAAGAGCAAGGACCCAAGTTCGATCCCGGTTTCAAAATAAAGAAAGAAAAGCAAGCAAAAGCAAGTCATAACACCATCTCGACCCTCTATGAACTGTAATTGTTCCTGATAAGTACCACACTACAGAAACCCATCAGCAAAGTCTAGAGGACAACTGGGATGCAGGAGAGAGACTGAACAAAAAGGACCTTCAATGTGAAAAACTTGAGATTATGGGCAATGTGGCCAGACAGCCACCTTCAAATATCTGAAAGGATTAGGAATAATTTGTTCTTCATGTCTCCAAAGGGAATGTAAACAATAGGAAGGAATTTTCATTTCACTATTAGGAAGAAATTTGTAGCAAGTAATTTTCCTGAGTGAAACTGGAGAGCCTCATGGAAAGAATGTACTGGTGACATTAATGAGACTAAACAATTATTTGACAGGCATACTTTTGCCTTTTTCTTACATCATACTTTGGATTTTTTGATAAATAGACTAGTCCAAGTAACTATGAATGCATGGACTCTCATCTTCCAATTCTGAAATTTGCTAACAAAAATAAATTTCTGAACAAAAGAGTTGGCTCAAACCATTTCCATAAAACCACATACTTTCCATGCATAGTTTTAGTATCAGAAGCATAAGAGAAGCTGTATTTTATTCCCAACTCAGTTAAACTTTCATTCTCTATTATTTCTTTTATTTTCAGCTTGATTTTTTTAAACACTGCTTCTATGTGAGCAGCACAACTTTCTCTAGCTACTTCAAGAATATTTAAGACTTTTTCTCTTTATACACCTACAGAAGAGGTAGAAGGGTTCTGTAATTGCATAACCATATTAGCTTATATTAATCTTAAATGGTCTTTGGAGGGGAAACACGTGGACCTCACTAAATGATTATCTGCTATTTCCAAGTAAAGATCAAGAAAAGACTAAAGGGTTTGATAAATAAAAATCACTAACCCATAGGGTACTATGAAACCACCTTAAATCCAACTATGCATTAAAAAAATTGTGCCAGAACCCCATTCTCCAATGACCCTAACTCACTACTTTAAATAAGCCTTATCTATCATTCAAATGCACATACAGACTTAAAAATAGCTAACCCAGGCTGGCTCCAGGCTGCAGTCATAGTATGATATCCTAATACTTTGCAAAAGAAACAGCGAAGTTCTCAGATTACCCTTCCAGTATATCGGGAGTTAAGGTTCTTTACTCACTAGTTGGAATCGATGTCCAAAGCTTAGCCACTCTTTTTCCACAAGGACTTCAAATCCTCGGATGGTTCGATAGTATCCATCTAACATGAGCATAGCAAGGGAAGTTAGCTGAGCTGTACGATCCCAACCATCACTGCAATGTACCACCACAGAAGTCTTCCCTGACTCTACCTTGTCAGCAATCCTAAGAGCCCCTGCAAGAATAAGCTGGAAAACAGATTTTTCCAAATTAAGTTTTTAAAAATACTTCTTCCTGGGTTCAATCCTCAGTATTGCAGAAAAAATTACTAATACAGTTTTTTAAAGGATGACTCTCTGAACATGGGAGAAAAAACAAAATTTTTATAAGTGGTAGAAAATACATAAATTTTGCATTTAAAACTAGAAAATCTCATAAATAAAGACTCCTATTAATTTGCACAGTGAAGTACAGTACCCTAAAAAGGTACCTCCAGCACTAAACAACAATGAAAGTAAAATTTTCCTTAGAGGAATTAAATTCTAAAGATTTATAGTCATCAAATATTTCAATATCATTTATTTAAATAGAATAACTGCTGTGCCAGCTGGTCTTATCTTTAAGCCTTATTTAAAACAATGTTTAAGTAAATTAGAGTCATTATTATGTGCAAGCGTTAATACTGGGATCTCCTAAAATATTCTATAGCAATTATTAAAGATTTTATGTCACAGAACACATAGCAAGCACAGTATGAACTTTAGAGTAAGCTACTTTCTCATCAGATATCATCAATTTACTTGGTAGCTAAAATAATTTTGACCTTTGACATATACTCAGAAACCCTTTGCAGAATAATTTACCTTTTCTGAAAAGTAATGACTGAACAGATTTAGATGGGATCAAAATATGAAACTAAAATATCTTTAAAACTGAACAATACATCCCCATTCTGCTCTGCAGTAACTGTACAGTATTATTATTCTTAAAGAACAGATCAGAATGGAAGGATTGTGTAGACTCAGAAATCTCATGATAATCTCCTTTGACTGTAACTAAAGGCATATTCTGGAAACAGGGTGTGATCAAGCAATCTCAAACTTGATTATGCATCAGTCATTTGTGAGCATTAAAAATAAATGTGCCTAATCCCCATTTTCTAATGAGACTGTCAGTATTTTAAAGGTCTCACCTATCATTCAAATGCATACTAGGCATCACTAATCCAAAAGTTTAGTTAAGGATGACCAGGAAGTTATCCAGAGTTAGTCTCCATTCATTCTAAAACATTTATGCAGCCCCTTCCTGTGTAGCAGGCATTGCTCAAGGGGCTGAAGGTAGAGCAGTGAAGAGAACAAATTATCAGCTTACATTCACATTCTGTTTGGGGGTGCCCAGCCAGACAAAAAATAAGGAAGTGAACAGCATTATCAGATGGATGTCACTTAGTATAAAAGCTCCTCAGCAGTATATTTAGAGTGCTGGTGGAACTTTCAGTTTGCATGGAGTAACAGCTTGGAAAGGCTTGTCTGAGAAAAGTGACAGTTGAGCAGAGATGTGAAGAAAATGGTGTATGCCTTTTGAGTTTTAAGTCCTGGCAGAGAAGAAAGCAGTCTAGCTGAACTGTGTGTCTTACACCCGTGGGAAAACTTGTTTCTGTTACAGCCAGCCTTTCATAGAGAAAGTACTTGCTAGTGAAATGACTAGGGATTTTTCCAGAAGCAAAGAGCAATTTATGTTAGGTTCAAGTTGAGGCTTAGGGTTTCATATTTGCACACTATAATAAGGGGGCCACATGAACATGACCTCTAAGTAGTTTGTATAGTTGTCTATATTAAGGTTATAAAGCTTCTTGAAGAAAATCAACAATAAAAATATTCCATAATTATACTTCTAATTACTTCTGTTTGGCATTTCAATTATCTTAATTTTAGAGATTTTAATGAGTATGTCTCCTTTAACATAAAAAAATCATTATTTCCTAGTATTAATATACATGGTTATTTACATTTTGGTAATTTATATTACTAAATGCAAGGCACTTCTGAAAATATGTAACTATATTAACTAAGTCTGGTGCTTCAAACATTAAATCAGCATGTTGAATAAATGAATGTTCGCTTGGTTTTCTTCACGTGACCAACACTCAAAATGGTATCCTCCATTCAACCACCCCACCTCTAATCAGGAAGACAGCTTTACAAAGCATGCAATGAATATTATACACATAGGGCTACCCTAGCTTCTGAGGTGACAAAAAAGAAGTGTGACTTATCTGGTGTAGGTCTTCATTAGTTACCAATATATGATGTTTGAAATATAAAAGCAAATGATTAGATGGAAAGAAAAAGGAAAGTAAAGAGATCAGTAAAAATAGAAATAGGTTCAGTCTGGGAAGGCTTAATGAAAGTACAATATGAACTGATATCTGAAGGATAAGTAGAACTTAGGATGGAAATGAAAGAAGTAAAACAGAATGATGTTCCCAATATAGGAAACTAAATCTTTCAAACATCAAAATTTAGTTCCAACTATCAAAATAGTTATCAATTTTTTACTTTTTAGAAGGTACCGTCATTCTAATTTCAATTTTAAGAGTCCATACAAAGAAAGAGACAAAGATTTTTTTAAAAAAACAGTGAAATTTACCTACCTTAATATGCTCTAGCCAGTGTGTAGATTCCAAGTTAGACAGCCAATGAGTTTCCTCAATATTTGGATACACAATCTCCTTAAGTTTTCGTAATGACTCTCTCATAACATGAATATTGTGGATATCCAGAAAAACTAGCTCTGCATTTTGATAAGCATCTTCACTTTCATAACCACCTCCCTTTGCCTGGAGAAAGGCACACGTCACAAGAAATCATAAATGGATACATAACCACTGTCTGTAGATATCCATAAAATACCTAACAATGTGAAAGATGCTTATTACCAGTGACAAGAAAAACTGTATGTGCAAATGTGGATGGCTCAAACAACTCTACAACCACAACCTACCTATGATGTCCTTTATAAAACAAGAATACACACTGGCTATTATAAATAATAATGTTTATTGTGTATTAAGATATTTATACACTTTAAAGCACTAAATTTTCCCTGCCAATATTTAAAATCTTACCCAAACAATTTCTTACAGAAGATGCCATTTTATACCAAAATCATCAGACTGTAAGTTCTATGTGCAGACTCTATTGTCTGGTCCACTTCCACTTTTTCATTCATTTTGATCTTTAAGTAAATTTTTTGCAATCCTAATGACTGGCTTCTATTTTAACCACATAATTATGTTTTTGTTTTATGTATGTGTGCATGTACATGTGCACTTATTTGTGTTTATGTTGGTTTTGGCTTTCTTTTTCCAGGGTCTCGCACATGCTAGTAAAGTGTTCAACCACTCACCTACATCCCCAGCTTTTTAAAATTTCTTATATTGATAAAAGGTATCTTTAAATTGCACAGGCTGGGCTTAAACTTGCTATCCTCCTGCCTCAGCACTTTCCTATACTCAGGACCTAACATTACATTTACCATTAAGCCTATCCCATATAATTCCTTCTAAATAAACAAACATAACAGGTATAAAAGCACACAGCACTATCATCATCTCTGTCCTCAAAGACTTAATCTATACCTACAGAACAGAAAGAGAAAATACTTAAGTTTTTTTTTAAGTTAAGCTATAGCTGCAAAGGAAAATCTAATTTTTCTGTACTTAATATTTTGCGAATACCTGTAAACATTATCCTACAGCCTGACTTGTGCATAAAACTCACTTGTCAGAGTCCTAGTAGAAACTACAATACCTAGTAGAGACAGTAGAAAAACTTACAAAAAATTAACTGATCATAACTCATACCTTTGAAAACAAAATTTACCAACTCCTAACCAACAATGGATTACTAAAAGACTACAATTGAGGCTTCTAACACTAATAGTCTAGGAAATAGTTTGGATTCAGGATTACCATAATTATAAAATTAAGAGCTTCAATGGGCAACTGGTAACACTGATTACTTCTGAAATGAAAGAACTAGGACAGGTTGAAGTTGGAAAGATTTACTGTAGACAGCTAAGTTAGACTGAAATTAATAGGCAATCAGAAAGAGATCAGGCCCTTGGAGTCAGTGGAGGAGATGAGACACATCAAAACTGTGGCTGGAAGTGAATTTGAGGAGCCAGGCCTAAAGATGGAAACTTGCTAGCCAGGCCTGCAAGCCTCCCTTTAGAGATAAATGGCATCTTGAGATTATACTGTAATTAGCTCATCTGGTCCAGTGAGCCTAGTCCATCAGATGCACAGGTGGGTAACTATAAAACCCTGACCCATACTCCCTTTCCAGGAATGCTTTTGTTCTATGTTAGAAGTTACTGATAAGCTGAATTTGATGCTACCATAAACCCTTGCCAGCCGGGCATGGTGGTGCATGCCTGTAATCCCAGCAATGGCAAGGCTGAGGCAGGAGGATCACTGTGAGTTCAAGACCAGCCTGGACTACATAGTGAGTTCCAGGTCAGTCTCAACTACATAGTGAGACTCTGTCTCAAAAAAACCAAAAAAAACAAACAAACCCTTGACATGTTCCCCATACCCCTGTTAGATCAATATGAGCTAAGCAACCAAACTCTTAATTCTATAGGTTAATGGGAATTTGACCCATAGCTACCCAAGTTGTGATTTTGCATTAAACTCATGGGCTTTTGGGGGACAATCATCTAAACAACAGCACATAGCCTTAAAGAACCCATGTGACAAGGTCCCTTATGACCAAAGATGAGATATCTTTCGACTTAAATACTATTTGTAAAAGATCAGAAAATGTTGAAGTTTAAAAACATGAGCTCACAGTGAAACTTTAAAAAGCTAGTTACTTCTAGGGAATGAGAGGAAGTAAAGTCATCATTGAGAAAACTGGCAAATAAATATCAAGCATTTATCCCATCTTTTTTTTATATGTACTTAATTGAGGATTCTTCAAACTATAGATAAGAAAAGAATCTCTTTATAGAAAGAATACAACAAATAACTAAACAGGGAATCATAAAACTAGAACATAACCATTTTGCAACTACCAGTAAATCATGAGGCACTGAGCATCAACAGCAGCTAACATCCCACATGCCTCATGATGTATCACCTCAGTCTTGCCAGAGGGACTGAAACTAAATCTTAGTAACTCTGGATTAATCTGACAGTTCAGGGCACAGAAGACAGATGAGCCACACTATGATACAATCAGTAAAATCCACCTGTGAGAACTCTAAAGATAACAGGAAAAATATATGATGGATAAGGGGAGGATTAGAGATTAAGAGAGACTTAACAGATACATGCAATACAGTATTTGAAAAAATAGGCTAAGCTACAGAGTCTGGAGATGCACATTTTTATAATAAAAGTATAAATAAATAAAAGTATCGTTACTTATAAAATAAGTGGTTAGTTCTGGCAGAAGTAGAAAGCAAAATAGACGTAGGTCACTCAAGAAGACTTACTGGATGGCAAAGTTTTAATTCTTGACATAGGTCATGACTGCAAGAGTATGTGTCATGCAGTAATTCATTAAGGTACAGAAATGTTCCTACTGAGCCAGGGATTTAGCTCAGTGGTGCTGCCACCTGCCATGTAAGTGCAAGGTCGCAAATTTGACTCCCAATAACCCCCCAAAAAATGTTCCTACAATGCAGATAAAAATGTGTTGTAACCAAGGTTGTACACTTTTGCAAATTAAAAAAGGGCAATGTATGTGTGGGAATAATATTACAAAAATTACATAAAAAGTTCTTACATTTTATCTTACCATTTTTCTGCCTTATATTCCCTTTTCCCATGCTAGAACCCTTTTTCCATGCTAGAAAACAATCCTAAATTTCATTTCTGCAAATCATGGACTGAAGCTGAGGAAGGGGAACAAGCAATTAATGGAAGAATATTTGTATATGTTAGTTCTTAGGCTAAGGGCTTCATTTCCATGTTACTTCATTTATCTTTATACCCTATAACTACAGTATTAACTTACGATTTAGGATGTCATGCTCCTCCCTCACCTCCTTTAAGTGGGAATATTAAAAGTTCAATAGAAAATAATTCCTGGAACTCAAACTGTCCTCACAAGTTAACCAGATTCATCCAAATATTGTTCATGATAGCAAAACACAAAAACACAAACAAAAACAACCTAAATTCCACCCCAACAGTTGGGTGTAATTAGTTACAACTATACCTTAAAATGATATTACAGATGAATTTTTCTTGGCTCAGCAATATAGTGTTAATTTTCTTTAAAAAAAATTAAAATTACCCCATTTTGTTTCAAATATGTACACATGCAGGTGTGGAAGTATAACAAAGATTTAATGGTGTTTCTTAATATTGAAGTGTTTTAAATATTTTCTTTTTGCTTATCTGCATTAACTGATTTTTTCACAACACATATAAATTGCAGTCTTGAAAAGATTAAATAACTCAAAGTCACATTATGAGGTAAGAGCCATGATTAGAATCTTCATCTTTACCACTACAGAACCTGATCACTTTTTACTACACTACAGCCCCAGCTGACTCATGAAACTTTAATTATAATCTTAATTACTGAAAAGAAAATCTCACCTTATTGGCAACAGCATTAACACTTGGTCGAGCATCAAATATAAAGATTTTGTGCGATTGGGCATTGGAATCCATGATGGCTTGAAGGTATTTTTCGTCTTCTTTACTTCGCTTTCCACTCACTCCTACCATGGGCTGGCTACATCGCGTGATTGTAGCTTGACTTTCAGGATGAATCCATGACAAAACCTTCACAAGGGTGAAAAGATAATACATACTTTATATGTCTTCCTGTTTAGAATTCTTGAAAACAGTCCTCGATAAAGCTCTGGTTTTTAACTGGATCCAAAACTTGGCCATGAAAGGATAGCCCAAGCTGTGGAAAAAATTATCACTTTTCTGTCAGTCCAATTCTGGTATGTAAAAACCTGGACTAATCATTAATTAGACATTCATTTATGAAAGTCACTAATTTGAAAAGTGGTATCTCTAGGAAAATATAAACAAAGAAATACATAAAACAGGTTAAACCCCAATTTGAAAGTTTTATTACTGCATCAGTAAAACTGCCCAACTCCAAAATCTTCACAATGTATGAATTTTGTACCTAAAACTATTTCAGCTTATCTTTCAATATCTAGTTATTCATCAATTTATAAAGTTTTCTTCTTTCTTGCCTTAAACGAAAAGAACATTTATGACCATAACTAAAGAATACATAAGATAAAGAAATACTGAATGATAGGAAAGTTGTTTTCATATTAGAAACTAGGCAATTATTTTAATTTTTAAATTTTCTAGTTCTAAAATTTTAAATTTATACTTTTAATTATACCAAGTAATTCAGTCTCTAATATCGCCACAAAAAATTTGCTGATACAGGTATCTTTATCTGCATTCATTCTCCAATTCATTAAGCTCAGCATTAGGTAGAGTAAGTATAAAAGCATTGGTGAAGTTCCATCAAAACATCATACTTACTGGGAAACGGCCCCTTGACCTGAAGGACGCTACTCTCTTTAATTCTTCATCAGGAATATTTGCTGGCACAACCAAGAGTGCAGGATATGTATCACTAAGTTCATATCGTTCATTTATCTTTGTTATTCTCCAGCTTTCATTTGGAATACCCTATATATCAAATAAAACATAAGAAAAATTGTTACTAACTAAAATATTAAGAGAGAATAGGAACCCTTCTCCATTGTCGGTGGGAGGGCAGACTGGTGTAACCACTGTGGAAATCAATATGGAGATACCTCAAAGAACGAAGATTAGAAGTTCCATTTGACCCATGCATCCCTCTAAAAGAATTAAAAGAATCATACCACCATGATATATGTGCACCCATGTTTATAGCAGCACAATTTGTAATAGCTAAAACTTGGAAACAACCCAAATGCCATCTACTGGAGACTGAATAAAGATGTGGTTTTTCTATAAGATGGAGTACTACTCAGCCAATAAAGAATGAGAAACTACAAACATAGCTAAATGATGCAAACTGAGGATAAACTCTTCAGTGAAATAAATAGGACACACTTAAGTAAATACCGAATAGTTTCTCTGGTGTAAAAAATCAGAAGTGTAAGGTTCAAATGGTAAAACTGGGACTGTGAAATAGGAAGAAAATGGCTAAAAGGGAAGTGGGAAGGGAGGGGAAAGGAAATGAGGGGAAAAAATGAAAAATTGGAAACAAAGTCTTTGTAAATAGGGAAGGGTGAAGGGGGTGAAAGGAGGGCAGGGGTATGGGTAAAAAAACAAGAACAAATATATCATGCAAAGGTACAAGATCACAATGATAAATGTAACTGTACTGTTTGCTTTAAATGTATCAATAAACTTAATGGAAAAAAAATAAATAATTTTAAAAAAGGGAACAGAACAGTAGCTATTCTAGTTAATTCTTGTATCTCCACTAACATCTCTTAAACTGCTAAAATAGTGCTTGTCTGCCTGTGATGGCCAAGCTTTTAGGATGACACATTGTAATGTAGGGATCTCTGTTCCTTTTTCCACCAAATTTTGTTAACAGATTTATTAATTCATTAAATATTAATAGAATGTAAGTCTGTGCTAAACAGATTGGGCAGAGGATGGTAGACTTGCTATAAGACTGAAAATGTTTCCTGTCTTAAAAGACAACACAGCTGGGGATTTAGCTCAGTGGTGCCATTGCCTGCCTTGCAAGCACAAGGACCTGAGTTCAACCTCCAGTACCAAAAAAACCAAAATAAAAAAAAAAAAAAGAAGAGAAGGCAGTCTCAATTTGACGAGATGACTGATTCTAATGCCATTTATCTATACAAAGAAATTTCAGAGGGCAGGGACCAAGCACCTGCCAGAATTCTCTATATATAGTTATCACTCAAATACCAAAACTGAATTTCCAATCCTGCTTTTTTCTACTAATGAAATGTTGCTAACCTTAACACATACTAGAAAAATGAACAATGGGAAGGCAAAATAAAGACAGAGCAGATGAGAAATACTTAAAACAATTTTTTTTTTCATTTTTTTGTACTGGGGATCGAACTTAGGTCCTTGTGCTTGTGAGGCAGGCAGCAGAATCACTGAACTAAATCCCTGGCCCTCTTAAAACAACTTCTTAAACACATACTATTTATTATACTCTCTGGTTATAGTGCACTAATCCACATGTAGGATTACTTAACAAGATACTTAAAATTTTCCATCCTTCTTTGTATAGAAAATAAAGCATTACATTAAATAAATGGTTTAAATTAAGAAATTAAATATTTAAAATTTTATGATCCCTAAAAACATATCAACTAAAAAAGAATTAAAACAAACTATGGTGCAAAATACATTTACTGAGCACCTACTATATATAGGCTCTCAGAACACCTGTTTTACACACATCTACACACATTACTGTAATCCAAATTTATCAGTTTGATTCTGTAGATGAAGGAATTGTATTATGGTCTGTAATTTGGCCAAAGCTAAGCATTAGGAAGTGGTAGAGAAATCCACGTACATTCCCAAGTCTATGCTAACATAAAAAACATATTCTTCAAGAAAAACTTACTCTCTCCTGCCTTACTAAATTATTATAAAAATCTAAAATAAGCCGAATGTGCTCTCCTTCAAAGTGATAATTTTTCAAACTGTTGCCACTGGATATTAAAGAGACAAAAATTTCCTTCTAATAATCAAGCGGCAAATACTCTCCACAGGAATTTCTATCTATTTCTAGCCGTGGTCTGCTTCTTCACAAATACTAATCTATAAATTCTATTTATTCCATTTAATTAAGCCTACTCTCAACTTGCTCTTTTAATCTACAACTCTCTAGCTTTCTTCAACTATGTATATTTAGGTTACTGTAAGAGCCTTATTTAAAAAAAAATACTAAGTAAAATTTCCTTTAGAGGGTTGTTAAGAAGTTCTTACAGCTATTTAAAAAGAAAAGACAGTGAATTGACAAGTTTAAAGAAATGGGACTCAAACAAGAAGTCTAGATACTGCCTTTATTCTTTCCCCTCCTTTATTCCCTACCTCCAATCAATAGCCAATTTTTACAATTCCTTTCCAAAATTTCCAGAAGTATGCTAACTTTTCTAAACCTCACCACCAGTTCCCTGTCTCAAAAAACAACAAAAAAACTCCGTCATCAAAAAATATATACTAAATGTATACTACTACTTATACATCTAGAGAATTAATGTGATTTTCCTTTTTGGTTTTAGTTGCAGCACACAATAAACCTCTAAAAAGAGAAATCATTCATTGTGATACTGTGTGCTTGAGCTAAAATTTAAGACTAAGGATAAAACATCAGAGTATTTGCTTCTTTTTTCACCCCCCCCATGTGATTTATGTTTTCAGAGCTTTACAATGTAACAAATATAATAATATTTAGCAGTTTTTATAGTTAAAAAATGTCTTCTTGTGTGTCATTAATCCTTCAACAATCTCATTAGGCAATACCTATCACTAACTAAAAAAAATGAAGTCACTGTGACATGAACAATTCACTCGAGCACCCACTTAAGTGAAAGAGCTAGAGCTAAAATTCAAAATATCTTTTTTTAGAATTAAGAGTGTGAAAATTGTATAACTTTAAGAATAACCAAAAAGTCTGTGGATTACATACTTTTAAAGATTTTGTGATATATGAGTTATACTTCAATTTTTAAAAATTTAAGGAGGTTCTGTTTATTCTGAGATGGTACATTCTCCAAGGTACATTAAATTTCAAAAAAAGAGGGTACAGCATTATGATCATTGTATGCCACCATATGCATTAAAAAAATAATGCAGGCACATACATATACAAGCTTTGTAAGTATGAAATCTTTGAGAAGGATACATAAGCAACCAGTAATATTTCCCACAGGGAGAACTGAGATAGGTAGGGAACAGAACTGTCCTGGAAAGGAAACCTACTTTTCTATACATTCTTTTGGACTTTCTGAATTTTGCAGAGTCTAAGTGTTACCATTTCTTTTGTTTTTTTGTTTTGTTTTGTTTTCTTTTCTTTTTAACTTCAAGGGGAAAAAAAGGAATGCACTGATGTTTTACCTTTAGCCTAGTTAACTGGAAATTTTCTTCTTGTTTTCTTATGTCTCTCATGTAGGATTGTCCAACCCGTGGACTGTAGGCTGCTAGCTCTTTTTTGTTTTGAGGGTTGTTTTTTTTCTAGGTTTAAAATTTTTGTTGCTGTTGTGGGTACATGTTTGCAGTGCAGTCACTGCATTCCTCAGGTAGAATTGGTACACGTACTAAACACATCTTATTTCTTTCTCCATCCCTTTCTCTATTGCCTCTCCCCCCTCCATCTCTTGACCCCCTTCTCTTTTGCAAAAGCTCTATCTCTATTTTCCTATTATCTGTCTTTCATTTTGCTCTTTATTTTTTGAGTTTTTCATATAAAAGAAACTGTGACATTTCAGTTTGTGTGTGATTTATTTCACTTAGCATTATGGCTCAAGGTGCATGCATTTACATGCAGTTACATGCATGCCTTTACAAATAACTCAAATGTATTGTTTATGAAAGAGCAGTACTCTTCTCAAAGTTATAATTTAAAATATTTTAAAATAAAGATGCTTTGCCATTTACATGTTAACTGTATTATGTATGTGGCCCAAGTCAATTCACTCTTCACTCAATGTGACTCATGCAAGCCAAGAGACTGAATGTTAGTTAGTCTGATAATGCTACTGATCTTTCTAGAGAAATGGTCTGTGTTGCTCCTTACTGCATAGTTTTTCTATTTATTAACAGCTGTTCTTCATTATTTCCTTCCATCTTCTTTAAGCTTATCTCACTATTCCTTTTCTAACTCATTAAGATAAATTTTAGCTCATCGTGATTTTTAGACTTTTCCTTCTACTTGAATGAAGTGTTAAAAGTTATGACATACAATCTTATCAAGTTCTAGTATTGATAAATGTCTTTCCTTATCTTTTAGACAAAGTCTTTAAACACTGTAACTGTTTATCCCTTCTGAATTACTTACTACTGATAATATACTTTTGATTTTTTCTGTATTACACTCCAGAAAATATTGTTATATGTTTATACAGTCAATATTCATTTATATTTATCACACACTATTCTCTCTGCTTTTCATTTGCTTTTTTCTACTCTGTTTAGGGTCACTCTTATTCCACCTAGGCATATCCTTTAGAATTTTCTGATAGTTAAAATTGTCTTCTGTTTTTATTTCACTGTCATTCCTAAAGGACATAATTACTGTATATTAGGTATAGAATTCCTAACTGGTTGTTATTTTATTTCAATACAATAAAGATAAAATCACATTTTCCTCTAGGTTCCACTATTGCTTTTAAAAACTATTCTTAATCTAAGTCTCCTTTTTACAATAATTTCTTAGATGCTTTTAAGATTTTCTCTTTGTGATGTTCTCATTTCTGTTTTATGTCTCCATGTCAATTTCTTTACAAATAACTTGTTTGAAATTTTGTTAATAAGTATCTATCACCGTGAGAATAATACCTACTTACCTATTCAAATATAATTCCTGCTATGCATACCCATTTTTTTGGGGGGTGGGGGAGGTAATGGGGATGGAACCTCAGAGCCTTTGCATTTAGCTGTATGCCCAGCCCTATTTTTATTTTTGAGACTGGGCCTCCTAAGCCCCTGAAGTGCCCCGGTTGGGCTTGTTCCTGTGCCTCCGTTTTTTCATATGCTATGCAGATAACACTACTACCTACCTCACAGAATTATTATGAAGATAAACGTATTAATATTTATGAAGTGCTTAAAATTCCTGGTATACATATACACATGTATTTACTACATTAAGTAGATAAAATCAATATATGAAGGAGACTTGTTAGTTGACAAGTATTTACAGAGCATATACCATGTGCAGAATACTCTCACACTTTATTCATGCATTCAATCACTCAACAGATATTGTCTGTTTACCCACAAGTCACTATGATACATCCTGAGGATACAGAAATGAGAGAACAGACATAGTACCTTCCCTCTCAGAGTCTAAAAAATACCAAAGAAATAACAAATGATTTTTTCAAAAGCTGCTAATGTTAGTAAAAAATTACAAAGAAAATGTTCTCACCACAGAAAAGATAGAGTAAAGGGACAGATGGACATCAGTAAATATTCATTAAATTAAAATGAATCAAAGTAGGGCAAAAAATACCTGAGGAGACTACCAATACCCGTTAAGTTTTGATTTCCATACAAAACAACTTAAAAGATGTAATGAATTCATGACAAAATAGAAAATTCCACGTGTGTGTGTTTGTGTGTATGTCTCTGTCTGTGTGTGTGTTATCTTTGTGTTTCTAGGAACAGAACCCATGATTTTGCACATGCTGGTCAAGCACTGTACCATTGGGCTATATCTCCAGCTCTAGAGGCATTCTTATTACTGTTACTGTCCAGAGAAAATCAAAGCTATCTTTAGCACAAGATAGAAAATAAACTACATCCTCTGTGTAAAAATTTTATGTGGAGCTAAATTATAAAAGAAATAAAATGATTAGGAATTATTACAGAATTAAATTATAAGATTCCCAAAAAAGAAAAATCTAAGTTAAATGTTACATAATAATATTAAAGTTTATATATACATATATTTATCTTATTTTTATCTTCATGCTGTTAAAATAGTTTTGAAATGAACCAATGCTTATAAACTTGAAAATAAGTAAAGATTCATAACAGATCACTGATGCACTCTGGAAAACAAAGAGAAGACAGAAGGACAATCAGGATTAGCATTTATTTAAAATCTAGAACAAAAACCTAAAAAGCTGTTTACTTCTACTTATAAAGTCTTTGTGATAAAAAGAATATAGACTATAAAACTTGAAACAAAAAGAATCACATACCTGCCTTCTATACTCTACAAGAGGGTCATATAGCTTCCATCCATTTTCTGGGAATATTTCTTTGTATTCAAAAGCAAAAAGAGGCTACAAAACAGTAAGCAGAATTAATAGCTAAAAGACACTGAAGAACTTTATGAATCAGAACATATTTTTATACTCAAAGTGCTCACTCTGCAAGAGTATTTTGTTTTGATATCTTTTTATATTTATATTGTCTAGCCTTTGCTTTATATTTGAAAATGTATGGTGTTTTATATATTTTTAAGAATACACAAAAGCACAGAAACCTATCCACAAAATTTATCAAATGCTAATATATGATCGCGTTTCCTTCAGATATCTTTGGAAGCTTTTGTAGTATAATTCTAAATAATGAAAGACATTACATTTTTTAAAAAGACATCTTCTGCTACAATTAACTAGTCTGTCATAAAACACACTGAGAAGCTTATTTTTTATGTATACTACATATAAAAATATTATCATTTTTGAGACATAATGATAGAAATAACAATTTTTAAAAAAGAAATTGGAACTGGAGTCAGAGCAGCAGTGTTAACTCCACATTCTACTTGCCTACTAGCTATGCCCGTAAGTTAATGCTTCTCTGATCCTGGTTTCAACTCTAAAACAAATAGGGGAATGGTAGAAGTGAAATACAGCATAAATGAAGGAGCTAACGTTATCACAAAACTTCCTGACAGCACAAAGAATTCAGTACTTGCCAACCCTTCACTCCCAAATTGCTCTTCTTAACTATCAGCTTTTAATTGCATATAGCTTTTCATAATGGAAACACCCTACATAGAAAGATCATATAATTCTATAATGTTAATGCTGGAAGGAATCTTAGAAATGAATTAGTATAGCAAGAAACTGGCCCAAGAGATTAGATAAATCTGAGCCAAGGATTTAGCTCAGTGGCACCATGCCTGTCTGGTAGGCACAAGGTCCTGAGTTCAATCCCTGGTCCTCCCCACCACAAAAAAAAGAAAAGATATTACATTCAATCTAAACTATACATCTGGTTAAATGTCCATTGCAGAAATTCTAGATAGCTAGTCAAGTTTCTATACACCAATAATTATAAAATACACTTTTCAAAGATAAGAAAAATGTTACCAGATTATTAGAGACAGGAAATGCGTATTTCATCAGATTCTCAAATATGGATCTTCTTGTTCGCCCCTCAGGTTTATGAGCAAATCGCAAATTTCTAATATCCTAGAAAAGATTAGGATCAAAATTAATCATTAATTTTCACTTTTTATTTAATGAATAAATAAGATTACTTGGAGCTACCTTGTAAAACTTTGCAATCTATGATTATGGGATATATAAAAGCAGATAATAGCTCCTTGAAGGAGGTAAATTTAAAATGATTCAGTGGGAAAAATAAGAAGAAATACAATGCATTCTAAGACAAAGCATAATTTTGAGAGCAGAAAATTTACATATGCTAATGGACTCAATATAGGCCAGTAAAAGAGGTAGCAATGGATGCATATAGAGGATATCAGACATACTGTATCTAAAGTTTCATATCGTCACTAATGGACATTAATCATTGTGAATCCTTCCCTGTGAATGTTCATTTTTTGTAATGAATTTCTCTAGTAAAAGCCTAATTAGCTGCTGTTACATTTCCATCATGTTCCCTTTATTTCCCAGAACTCATTTGGATTTATTTGTCCTTCTCTTCTTAATTTTGCCTAAAAGGCTTCCTCCACTCTATAGCCGAGTTCCATTCACTGGTAGGAAAACTCTGAATAGTTTAGTTGGTATTATCCAGGCTGTATAGTCAGACTGCAGGACTAGAGCTTTCTTCCATTACTATTCTCAAGCAATGTCCTTTACTTAGGCTGAATTCAGATACTCATGTTCTGGCTTACTGATGTCTTAACAGTACTTAGAAAAAAACTGGAGGTCAAGAATAATTTCAAGATTATCCATTTTACTTAAATGTTTTAACCTAGGCAAAATTCCAATAATTATACCTCATCATATAAAATGAAACACAGAGGAATTACACTACCACGTACCTACAATATATGACCAAATAAAATGTTTACAAATTTGATCCAAAATTAGAATGCTAACTTTATTATATTTTAAAATAAATGTGTAGGAACTGAAGCTGAAATCTTGTTTTCCCTCTGTACATACTTTTATAACTAGTAAAGATACTTAGATACTCAGATAATCATTGTTAACTACAGAACTTTCTGAAACTGCCATGGCAGAGGCCCTTCAAATGCACTGAATTTTACTGATAGTGGTCTTGTTCCATGGAGAAAATATGTATTTTAAATGACTCAGATTTCAAAAATCAGCCTCTTCCACCTCTTTTTATATTCTATGATGCACTCACTACTAGGGTACAGAGAAGTGATCAAGAGAGAATATGCTTGACAAATGGTCAACAGTTATTACACTCAATGCTCTCCTGACTACAATGAAAAAGCATAAAAAAATTACTAAATCATTAGTACTAAATTCATAAAACATCAAAGATTATAATAGAAAGCATTCTGAATTATACATGTTTCTTTTACTTTGGGCATTGATAGAACAACAAAAGAAAGGTGCAATATGATCTTGAACCGAGATATGCATGAGTTGTTAATTAGGCTACAAAATATAGAATAGTGACATGAAAAAGTAGCACATTAGAGGCCAGCCTGGGCTGCAAAGGGAGTTCAAAGCCAGCCTGAACTACATAGTGAGACCCTGTCTCAAAAAAAAATCAAAAAAGAAAAGTACATTAAACACCTATGACTGAACGATAAATGTAAATGTTACCTTCTACTAGATTAATATTTCTAGCATTGAAATCCACATTATTTCTGAAATTCATTTCCAATACACTGCTCATTTAAACCAGCTTTTTAAACCAAATACAGCAGCACACACATTATAAAATTTACCTTGCACACGGTTTCTAATCCATAGGAATTTTCGCCTCGACTGGAAGCACCACCAATTTTTTCTACTCTACTTATCACACCAAGAGAAGCATCTAAAACAAATGGGGGGTCCTAAAGGAAAAACACAAAATAAAACTGAGCAACTGATACTGTACAATTAAAATTAAAGACTGAAATCTTAATCAAAGCCTTGGGGATGTAGCTCAGGGGTAGAGTGCACATTATGTGCAAAGCCATGAGTTTGATCTCTAGCATCACACACACCACACACACACACAAAGTTAAGAAATCTTAGGAATTCTTTAATTAAAAATGATCACAAGTGGGCCACGGATTTAGATCATGGTGATGCCGCCTGCCTCACAACCACAAGGACCCAAGTTCAATCTCCAGTACCAAAAAAAAAAAAAAAAAAAAAAA